AGAAAGGAATGAAAACAGTGAGAGGTTCGCAAATCCGTGTGCCTTCAACAAACCAGTCGTCGGTGGCATTATAATGCCACACAAATGCAAACGCAGAACTGTATGGTGATAAATCTGTCAAACGAACTCTTGATTTAGTTTGCTAGTCGATCCTAGTAACCCCAGACTAAACCTACACTGCAAATTGAACACAGAATGGGAGAGAAGTGAAAAATCAAAGACTGGTGATAAAGATTCATTTGAATACTAAAATAAATGAAAAATGATTTGGTAATACACCACTTTTTATACGACTTATTTACAGTGTTATTAACAGTCAGATTTCTAGAAATTGAACTGAGTTGTATTTAACAGTAATGATTGATTAATTCATTATGTGAACACACGTTTACCATATTATATAATTAAGAATCTATAATCGTTTATAAGATGTCGGTACATATCACAAACAGTTGGAAAAAAATCTGTCTTATTTATTATTCTCACACTAATTGACTAAGCCGTTACTCAATCTATCAGCTCCACACAAAATGATCTAGTGTCCTTATTTTTAATACATTATTGAAACGGTATAACCATTAACTAGTTGAGTATATGCTTTTACCATTATTGAAATCATTCTTCTATTTTGTTTACCTACTTTAGTTCCACTGTTGGAGTTATATTTCACACACTTATTTGTCTTCGTCTGATTTCTACATTTTCAATATCATTTTCTCTGTCGTCAAACTAAAAATTTGTCACCTGTGTTGGTATGTAACAACATGAGCAGTGAGAACATTGAGAAACTGAAACTGATTATCCTAAACATGAAGCCACCTGATTCTCTGAGATTCTCAACTGAGATGTTATAGCTAAATCTGAAGCGGTGTTGTTGCAGATCAATTAAACGGGACAATCTATCAAACTGAAGTTCTCTATCCAGTCAAGTCTCATTCATTGGTGTGGTGGACGTTCTGTTCCCCCTCTTTAACTTCTTTGACTGTGAATTCGCAGTGCATCTCGCAAATAATGTCTAACATTTCACCGGATGCACTATGAGCTGACCGTTGAGTTGGAGAGATTTGAGGTCTTACAATCTTTTCCAATGTCCTTTTGCTTATGAGTGCTATATTGAGGTCGCGTCTAGCCGTAAGCTAGTGTAATACCTATTATTCTCGAGAGAAACATATTGTCTACGATTATCTGAGCCGGTATGGCTAAGGATTATAGTTACTTTGGCCGTTTGTTGTTTAAATCTTCTAGAATATACTTTTGTTTGTAACAGAGTCCTCTATTCTTATAGTGGCTTTCTTTATGCTTTTCCTGGAACGTATAGTAAAACAATGATTTTTAAACAGGTGAAAATTTTCGACACAATCCCTGCATGCTTCACCCAGTCACTTTCTAATTACTTCGTTATCGTCAAGCTTTAGTAGTGGATATTAGGAAGAGATAACTGTTCTCTGAAGATTGTAGACAGGGTTTTAATTGTTTTTTCAAAACTAAAGTTTCATGGCTTATTAGGCAGAATAAAGTTACTGTATTCTTCGTCTTCTGAAATTTCAAGTTTTCCTAAAACCATCATCCAGTCTTCACAAACTTATTATGTGGTTTTCACCAGACGACATTACAGAGAACCAAACCAACCATGTTGGCATCAATAAAAAGTTCAAAAGAACCATGGAGGAAGTGAGAACCAAGAGAGGAGCTGATATGTTTCATATTAGTACCTGACAATTTACCATTAATATTACTATTAAGAGTGTTTCGAATTATGTTCTAATATAAATTTATAGGTAATTGATGCAGCATATATAACATGAAATTTAGGGCGTAATTTCTTGTTATTTCCCATGACGTTATTTTATATACTTACTTTTACTACCATATAAAAGCTACAATGTGTAGTATAGTAAAGTATATATGAATCGGTATAGTTGAATCTGAATTGTTAAAACACGATGTAGGGAAAAAGAGGAAGGCGAGTGATTTATTGTCCAGTAACAAGCAGTCACAAAGATATCTGAATACAATGAATTTTATAAGATTCAATTCTATGGTCAGTATACTGTTTAGAATAAACTAGACTGGTGCATTAGTCGACATTAATGAATAAAAAAATCAGTGTCGTTAATTCAGTTTATAACATCAGTGGGATGAACTTCTTTAGTGAAATTAATGTTGAGAAATTACTGAGTTATTTAGTATTCCTTTCTAACAACAAGTCAATAAAGACCACTATTTATTGGTAATGATAGTTTCTGAGTAGTGATGTACGGCTTTTCTTACTGATCAAGATAATGTCGTAAGGAAATTATGATCTGTATTTAATTTTGTAGTCTATATAAACCATGTAAAATGTATGATATAAATTACCCAAACAAGAATCCAGATTAGTGCATTTGAAGTATGTTTAACGATAGTAATAATGTTATCATCAAAGATCGGATAATAAGTAGAGTAGTAAAGTGTCTTAAGTGATATGTAATTTATGTATTTTAAGTAAATCTGGAGAAAAAAATCTTAAATTATCTGCGTATTTCAACACTAACTTAATTGGTACATTCAATACACAGTTCAGTTTGAAGTTTAACTAAAACGAATAACAATTTTTTAGTAAAACCGAAATTTTTGACAACTTTCCACTTGAAATAATTAATGTTAGACTGAATTATTTAGTAACAAAAATAATTGTTTCCTCTGTTTTCTTATATTGATCAATATGATTCTAATTTGTTAAACATATTCACTTAATTTCCCACTGTAGGTTATGCATTTCAAACATCGTTGAATTGTTTTTTAAAAAAATTGCTGATATGAATTAAGTTCATTTACAAATCCATTTTTCGTTGATTCACGCATATGCAAGTCTTGATACATATGCGGGCTAACGAAGTTAAAATAGTTCATTTTTATTCTTGTAGTTAAATATTATCATCAGTACTTTGAAATGTGGAGTTACTATTTTCAACCTCATGTTAACTTGTGAGTCATAAAAAATTTTCAAACTGAAACTAAACAAATGTCTTGTGTTCCCAGATTTTTAATAGACTTCCGACTAATATCACTTTGAGTTCGAAACTAAATTCACAAAGATTTATACACATTTTGAATGCAAATAACTGTTTACCTGATTTATCCATTGTCGTTCAATCGTTTTACAAATGAGTAAATAAATTGTTCAATTTATCTTAATGAGATCATCAAAACAAACCAATTCATCTGAATATAATTTTATTGGAACATTATTTGCTAAACTATGTAACCGATAAACTTTAAATTTATTCCTCTTCATTTAGTTGGTAATTATTTAATTCTGACACAGATTTTCAGCCTTTAACCAAAAACCGAAATTAGTTCCTAGGATTTAAAGCTATAGTATTTCATATTTCATCGCAATCCACTAGGGTAGTATTGTATGACGTTCCACGTTTATATCTTTTTTGTAAGACAATTAGTAACTCTCTTCTAATTTGAATTCTGGTGTAAGTTGTTTTTCAGAAGTTAACATGCTTAAATTTATGTTATCAGCTTAAAGATTTGTACTTGCCATTTGAAATACACTTTCCGATATATTTGTCTACGAGTTTCCTGGATTTAGAATTACATAGAGATAAACCCTATTTCTAGAACAACCAAACGTACATATACTGACTTAAAAGCTACTGTTAACATTGAAGAGGATTGCTGAACAGTGCGATACTACCAAAGACAACATTTAAATTTACCGTATAAAATGCTTTTACGAAACTTTAGACTCAATGAAATTACATCATTTAGGAGTCTCTTTGATAACGCCGCTCGTAATACATATTATATTCACACAATATTATTATTATTATTATATCTTCGTTGTCGTGACGATAGTTCTCCTACAAATGAATCTTATTCAAACGATTTATTGTACTATTATGTTGGTTACAGCATCTTACTTTGAATCATTTTGACTTTTGTTAAATGACCTTTTTAATTTAAAGATAACACAATTTTGAAGTATTTATATTGTAGCGGTTACAAAAGTCTGCCATTTTTAACATATAACGTTGCTAAATTCAGTGACTTAACTGTGTCGTGACATTTTTATTTTCACGACACAGGTTAACAGATTTCCCACAACGAATTTCCGATTAATTAACTGGTTTATTCCTCTCATATTTATCACGGATAATGCAATTACGTGGCCATTATCGGAGACTGATTCAAATTTACATCCTTGATCAATAAATTATTATACAATTAAATATATTGAAGTATTGCATTAATTTTTTTCCCCTACTAAAAAAAAATCTTACTTTCAAATTATATGACAATATTTTACTGCTACAATTCATTACATAGGAGCGAAAAGTAATTCGACTTTTAACTATACTTGATAGTTTCAAACGTATTTAATGCTTCAAACACATAAAAGTCATAGTCATATCTGAAATATTGTATCGCGTTGCGTGAAACATTAGAAAGAATTTACTATTAGAATGTTAATTAATTTGTAACTTATGATAGATGGTTTAAGTACACTACACAACTAAAATAAATCAGCCACTATTAGTAAAAAGAACATAAAAGAAGTATAATAACATGAGTAGTGCTGCATAAAGCGACTGGTCAGCATAAGCATCTTTATTAACCAAAATACAGTCGAATAATTGGATTTTTGCTTCTGAAACTTATTGACAAATTTTATAATTACAACACTTGCAGATATTTTGAGAAATATATTCAGCGCCTGCCTCAGCTCACTAATTCTTACCTCATTAACGATTTATGTTACAAACAATTCCAGATTCATATTCGATAATATTAAAAGTTGCCTTTTGCTTCAAATCTAGCCACACTTTTGGGATTTCAGAACTTGAATAGAATGTGCTTCGTTTGTATATCTGTGTTCTAATGTGATAGGAACTTTTCAGTGATAAAATTTTTCATAAACTAGTGTTATTAATGATTTTTCAGATTGAATATTTTGTAGTCTGTTTCATTTTTCATTAAAACTAGACAATTTTTATTTGAATTTCTAGGCAATTTTGATAGAATTAATTCATGTTTATGTCATCAATTGATGAATGATGAAGTTTCTGCTAATCATACATGTAGAAAATTTCAGCATGATTCAGTTAATTCCAATTCTTCAAATGCAATATCTGGTGATTCACCATGTTCCAATACTTCTAGTCTTTCCAATTCATATCAAGTATCTTGTACGTCAACAACAAAAAATATTCCACCACCTGTTCCACCTCATTATTCAGTTACGCAACGACCGAATGAAGAGAGGCATTCAGAAATAATTCACAATGTAATTTGTTATTGATTTTAAGCTGACAGTTTGGTAATAATATATATATTTTAGTAATATAACTAATTTAACAAGTAAAGGTTTATATCGTCAATTTTAAGTTACTCTGTTGAGCAATAAAAATTTTACTGAAAGTCTTTCGAAGCATTTCAAATAATGCAAAGTCCCTCTGCCCTAAGCAGAGAAAAAAGTTCAACTATTTATCCGATTTCGACTATTTATCGTATCATTTTCTACACAGTTCTACGCACACACAATAAGATTTCCATTATTTCTTGAAAATTCTCTACTTTATGTCATAAACGACATGTTTTTCCTTCCTCTCATCATATACACGAATACTTCGCTGTTTCATATACCGTGGAGGCTGATTAAGATGATGCTGACACATTCAAACATATCATGACTTTGGCTGTACTGAAAATATTCCGTGTTTTTTTCTTTTTAATATTTAACCATGTGCCAATTTATTTGGGTTATTTTCTTATTTACGCTGAACAAGTGATTTGCATTAAGTCATGAAACGTCAGAAATACAAATTCTTATCCATTGGATTATTACGGAAATTCATAATTATTATATTATTTCTGTTTAGTTTTAGTCTGTTTTTAGTATTCTGTATCACTAATCATAAACATTAGATGATTTTTGAATTTCTCTTATTTCTATTAGAATAGTGAAGTTTTGGCCATTGAACGAACTAAATCTGATTCGCATTTGGAACAGAAATCGCTATCTGGAAATGATATTTGTTTTGTCGATGCTAGTGGAGATTCAGAACATGAATCATTATCTTTTCAAATTTTAAATCCTCAACGTTTTAAAGCCTCAAATGAATGTATTGAATGTGAATCGATACGCAGTCATTCCAACATATTTTACAGTTCATTGCCATTAGATGAAATAAAAAGACCAGAAAAACCAGATCGAAAGGAATCAGCTTTTCTGAACCGTGATAATGTTAACCCCAGTGATGAAATATCTGATCAGAAAAGTATGTGTGAAACAAGTGTCTGTACAGAGCAGGTAGTCAACAATGTTTTGGTTGAAAGTAGTTCTGATGAAACAAATAGATTTATAATAGAGGAGCCCTATGGTGTGGAAGAAATTGAAGTTTGTGAATCAGAAAAAGTGTACGATATTATCGTTGCTAATGGAATATGTCAGCCTGTTAGTGAGGTTGGAGTGAGTATAGTATTTTGTAAACCAATTTTTCAGATGCTATATTACACAAGACTGATAGATTTGAATACTAACGACTTTTCCTAATCCCTATGATGATTTTAACATTTTTGATTTAAATAATTTATCACATTTAAACCTTAGAATTACTTATGGGCTCAGTTTTCTTTACTGTATCTTCTGATTGATTGCTAAAAGCAGTATAATTAGCTAGCAGTTATTCTATAAATGTTAGTGTTAACAAAAGCTCCACGATATGTTATATAGCCTTATAAAGGAAAATGCTTGAGCTCATGAAAATGCCACACTCAGGTCTACGAAAATAAACTGGACATTTATTAGTAACATTTTAGAGCTGGTTGAACTCCACATTCATACCAAATACGATAGCTACAAATACTAACCCACTGACTTCGTGAATCCAAGTCTTCTTCAAAACCATTTAAACCACTAACAGATTTTTATATGATAAGTGAACAATTAAAGGCAACAAACATGTAATCTGTTGTACAATGAATGATATTTATACAGCAGTTTCGTCATTTGAGTGAATTAACGCTGCTTATGTAGTTGTAGAAGTTCATTTTAATCCCATAAGTCTGAAAACAATTATTAATCAAATCGGATTACGTCAATTTAAATCTTGATTGTAACAAAATCTTCTCATTAAAACAGTAATATAAGAAGTAAGTATTTTATTTCCCTTCTGTGTATTGTTTTATTATATGAAATAAAATACTTAAAATAACTTCTAAAACTTAAGAAATATGTTGATAATTGTGAAAGATAACATCGTCAGAGCGACCAAAACTAGAAGTGCTGTCAAGAAAGCAAACTTATCAGCTTTGTCATACAAAATAAAAGTTGTGCAATAACAATAATAATCCTGAAAATGAATGGTTCAAACACTAAAAGTTAAACATTGAAAAGTAAAATGTAAACTGTATTACCATGAACACAAGTGTACGTTGCTTCGATGTCACAAAAAAAATCATAAGGCAAAGTGATATTTAAAAAGAATTTTTAAAAATGAAGTTTAAGTGTACGCTAAGAATGGAGAGGTTGGATAACATACTTTGTCCAAAGCTCTCTGTTTGAAAGGACTTTCAAGTACACAGATTTAGCTAATTCATAATTTGAATTTTAACTAATGAGGGCTACTCAGTTTACTATGTTATTATTATCCAGAGGTAATATGTAACATGTGAATTCAAGATTTTACACTATTATTCTAGGTATGTCGAATCAATCCTTTTCAATATTAACCACTTAAGTTGTTTGATAGAATAACAAATGCTTTGTTTTACATAAGTGATCGAAAATCACTTTATGAGAGGAAGTGGGAATTGTTTAGAAGATCTAAAAGTAACTTTTTATCATTAGGTAATAATGTAAAAATGTTTTTAATAGTTATTATGTACTAAGAATAAAGTTTAGCAGCTGTTTCTTACTTTCGTTTTGTTTTCGATCGTAGGCAGCTTTTTTAACATGTTTTTATACTCTTTCATTATGGTTGCTTTTTTATGTTTACATCTTATAGATCAATTCACAAAATCATTCATCCTTAATAAATTCAACTAATTGGCAAATATTCTGTTGTATTAGTGAAGCAGCATTTACATCAAACACTATAGATTCTTCATCAAATGATCTGCAGATTTGCTTAGCTCAACCAGGTAATTTTGGTGTGTGTTCTTAATCATTTTTTAGGTTTATCTGATCGACTAATTAAGGAATCGGGGAACAATCCTGAAAATAATGCAGGCTGATAAACCGTTTTATGTCTAATCGAAGCGATCGAAAAGCACTTCGTTAGTTCAAGATGCTCTGAGAATGATAGTTTTTTATGACTTGGATTTTCAAGAGTTAACAATGCTACGCAAAATCTATAATCATGAAACTACAAAAGCGGAATTTTTAGTTTTGTAAGGAATTATTCAAGAAAAAGACAAATAACGATCTCAGTCATCCAAAATTCACCATAGCTACTATTCAGGTTAGGGTTTTCATCACATTTATGGACTACAGCCTTTTATTAAAGATACATACAACTGAATGCCTATTAGGTAGAGCATCACTATAAAACTACATATTTGGATGGATTTACCACACGTTTTTGGTATTTTTGGCTTCATGGATATTGATTAAGTAGGATTGTGTTAATTGGTAGTTTTTTAGATTGTAGCCTCTCATCAGTGCACATCCATGATTCATTAATGGATTTGACCATTAGAAAACTTTCAGCTATCGTTTTGAAATGTAAGGGAATCGATTTCAAAAAACTTACCTTGAACAATGTCCATTAGACTAGATCATTGATAATTCATGCATATAATTAATTCTTACACTACTGGTAAAATCATCGTTCAGACTCATTATTCAAATATGAGTTACACGAGGTATTTATATGTGATCTAAAGTTGTTCATCTCTCTCTAGTCTACTTTTACCTTTTCCCTTCTATCATAAGTTGTTTCCTATGATGAAAGTAAGATTAATGAATAGCATACAGGTGGTGGGTTTGATTATTTATTATTCAGAGGAATAAAAGTAAAAACTTTAGTTGTCAGCTTCTAACATAAAAATGTCAGCAAAAAACATCATTAATATCTGATTAAATGACTAAAATATATTGATCACAGAAGAATAACCATTATTTTGTTGTTAATTTATCAATGCCAGCCTTAATTTATGCATCCTGTTTTTGGTTTGACTTAGTTCACAGTGGTTGATACGACATGGTGTTTATGTCGCTGTTAGATGAGATCACATTTAATCTGAACAATAGACAAAATTTAATTTATCTTTGTAAACAGGCAGAAGAAAATATTTATATGATTGAAGCTAGTAATCGTATGAAAGCTAGTTATTTTGATTACTTACTGTCAACAAAATGGAATTATCTTTGTAAGTAACTCCATTAGTAATTATAATTAAAGTAGAGGGTTGTTGAATACGCTTGCACAGAAAATAAATTATCGTAATAAAGTATCAAGAGCTTATGAACAGTATTTCATTTTTAATGAAACTGACATACAATTATTCTCATGTAAATACAAAATTCTGGCATTAGATTCCTTTTGAATTACTTTATCAACATGTATTTTTGAATGTTTTTCTTAAATGATAAAATCTGAGTTATATCCATTAGTGTAAAATTTCTAATAAGTTATAATCTAATCAATCAATTATTAATTATATGCTAGTAACTAGTTTATTTTATTAAAATATTAAAATATATCACTTCATCTATTATCATAATATTTAGCCACTGTATTTAAACAAAATAATTTTGGTTCTGTGTCTGAAATTCCAACCTTGAATATTCACGAATCATTCATTGTGTTCTGTTCACTAACTTGTACATTTACAGTACAATTTTATAACACGCATTACAGTTTGATCATTAACAAGAAATATGTAAAAATTGTCGAATAAAAGTTTGTCAGTTTTTAAGATTTTCGATTTGATTAACACTTCTTGTAGTTTGTACAAGCAACTTGGATCACAGTTTTATCATAGTTGGAAAAAACTCACGTACAATACTCAAAAATGTAAATCAACACAAAGTTCGTCACTTAGTATGCTTGAGGCTATTACGAGTTTACCTTAGTCGATAAACGCGAACGAGACTTTTACCAGCTTCCAGGAAGGCTACCGTGAATCCAACGGTAAAACAGAAGTCTTGGTAAGCGTAGAAGTATATTCTACAAACACCCAGCAATCACACAACAACCAAGCATACAACTCTCGTTTATTTATACAACATAACAACGTCCTTGAGACAGTTAAGAAAATAGCATACTAAAATACACAGCAGCCAATCACAGCCATGGATTTTCCTGGTGGGAATTGAAATCTCAAGGTCATTTGATCAGCCCATGCTGGCGAAACGTGAAAACCAAAATACGGCATTATCAAGCGAATTTTGGGGATCTAACATCCCCAACACTCCTCCCCTTTTTAATAGCTTGTTCTCCTGGGGTCGACTTGCATCTTGACTATTGTTCGCCGCTGTCTGAGGGGATACCTTCGGGAACGAAGAACAGCTTGCTGCTGAGTTTCTTCTCGTGGCGGGGCTCTCGGTAGGTTGAAGGTATCAAGCAAGATGTCAAGGGGAAGGCTTTCTGCTCTTGATGGGCGATCTGGGGCTAGCCGTCTGCGTATCTGATTCCGATGACGTGACCATTTATCACCTCCTACCTCTACTTCGTACATAACTCGACCAACCCTTCTGACCACTCTCGCTTCTACCCAAGGACCATGGTTCGTTCTGTAGTCGCGGGCAAACACAGGGCATCCTACTTCGTAAGCGGATTGTCTTTGCTGCTTTGTCTCTACTGATGAGGGTGCATTGGTCGGATGCATCAGGCTGTGAATCGTTTTCAATCTTCTTCCCATCAGGATTTCAGCTGGGGACTTTTGCTCCGGTAACAATTCATTTGGTGTTGTCCGATAGACGTACAAGAAATTTTGTAACGTTTCGGCTGGCGTCCCCTCCCCTTTTGACTTGAGCAGTGCTCTTTTAAACGTATCCACAAACCTTTCCGCCTGCCCATTCGATTGCGGGTGGTATGGTGGCGAGCGTAAGTGTTTAATAGCTAGCCGTTGACAGAAATTCTGGAATTGGGAAGAGGTGAATTGAGAGCCATTGTCGGATACGATCACATCTGGTATGCCATTCCGTGAGAAAATTTCAGTTAGGAGCTGTATAGTCTTAGTTGTAGTGGGCGGCGTAACGGGGCTGATTTCCGGCCATTTAGAAAAGGCGTCGACGACAATTAAATACATAGTTCCATTTATTGGGCCCGCGAAGTCGACATGTATCCTGGACCAAGGATGCTCAGGTTTGGGCCATGAAACCGGCGGAATTTTGGCATTCATCTTTGCCGCCTGCTGACACCGGATGCATTTTTCAACCAACGCTGTGACATGTTGATCCATGTGAGGCCAGTATGCATAACTCCTGGCTATGGACTTCATTCGTTTAATCCCAGGATGACCAAGATGGAACTGTCTCAGCACTTTTGCACGAAGGGATGCTGGCACCACTACTCTTTCACCAAACATCAGACAATCGTTGACGATGCATAGTGACTCCCGCCGCTGATACAGTTGCTTCATGTCACCTTCAAACTTTTTCGACGGCCAACCTTTAGTGACATATTTCATCGTCATCTTGATGATGGGGTCGTTTCTAGAAGCATTTTGTATGTCTGTTGCAGACACCGGTAATGCACGAACTGCGGTTGTCAGATAACATTCTGCGTGGTCTTCTACTGATAGAGATGCGATCACCATGTTTTCCTCAGCCGCCACTTGATCATTAATGAGTCGTGACAAAGCGTCTGCTTGACCGAATTGTAGAGTACGTCGATATTGGATTTCGAAATCATACCCCAAAAGTACCAAGGCCCATCGCTGAAGACGATTTGCAGAATGGGCTGGAATGCCAGACTTTGAACCAAATATTGCTAACAGAGGCTTGTGATCTGTGAGGAGCGTGAATCTCCGACCGTACAGAAACTTATGGAAACGGCGAACAGCAAACACAAGGGCAAGAGCTTCTTTCTCTATCTGGCTATACTTCTTTTCTGCTGGGGTCAGTGTACGGGATGCATGCATAACGGCTTTTTCCGACGCGTCTGGAAATTGATGTGAAATAACAGCACCTAGGCCATATGCTGAAGCGTCTGCTGCTACGATGATCGGCATGGATGGATCGTAGTGTGTTAATAACAATTCCGAGCTAATTATAGACTTGAGTTTACCAAAAGCCGCGTCACACTCTTTATTCCAGTTCCATGTGCTATGCTTCTGCAGTAGACAATTCAATGGAGAGCGAATATCATGCATCGAGGGAACAAAAGCTGAATAATAACTGATCAAACCGAGAAAAGATCGTAATTCGGAAACATTAGTGGGAGTAGGCATCAGTTTGATAGCTCGGATGTTTTCAGGATCCGGTCTGCGACCGTCGGCATCAAAGATAAATCCCAAATACTTTACCGCCTGCAATAGGAACTGGCATTTTTCTGGGCGTAACCGGAAACCATTGTCACTGATGCGTTGTAGTACCAATGTCGTGCGTTCCCGTAGCTGTTCTAACGTCTTCGCAACAATCAAGATATCATCGAGATAAGCTGCAACCCCTGGGATATCTGACAGGATTGTATCCATTAGTTGTTGGAAGATAGACGGCGCAGTCTTAACTCCAAAAGGTAGACGGTTATATTGAAACAAACCGCGATGAGTGTTGATAGTAAGCAGCTCTTTAGATGCTTCATCGACTTCCACTTGCAAATAAGCATCAGCTAGGTCAAGCTTTGCGAAGAACTTTCCTCCATTCAGCATAGTGAACAGATCTGCTGGAACTGGCAGAGGATAATGATGCTGTTCTAGAGCTGCGTTGAGACCTGTAGAGAAGTCAGCACATATACGTATCGTTCCGTTGGCCTTCTTGATAACGACTATAGGTGCTGCCCAACTGGAGTAAGAAACGGGAGTAATAACTCCTTGTCGTTGAAGGCGATCCAGCTCTTCATCTACTGTTGCTAATGTAGCATACGGTACAGGTCTCTTTGGACGAAAAGCAGGCTTAGCCCCATGTTTCAACCGAAGTGCTGCTTTCACAGCAGTGCACCGACCTAATCCAGGTTCAAAAATGATTGAAAACTCTGTCATCAGCTTCTTCGTATACGCTTCTGGGTCATGTCGTTGTGATACCAGGTTGCATATGGTATTTAGCGGGACATCAGCCAATTTTAGCTGGTCGAACCAATCTAAACCAAGTAAATTTAGATCAGCTGGCGTTATATAGCATACCCCAGTAAACGACGAATCCCGGAAAGCAACTTTACATTCCAATTGTCCTAACAGACGAAGATAATTACCACATGCTGTGCGAGGCTTTTGTGTTGTGTGCTGCAGGCTTGGGCTGCCCAACTTGGTCCAATTTCTGCGTGAGAGGATAGTGACATCAGATGCAGTATCTATTTGCATTCTACACAAATAACCGTTAATATTAAGAGTAATAAATTTCCTCTCACCTGGTGATGAACTTTGGCAGGAAGATATTAGGCTCAATGCATTGGTACTGGATCTAGGAAGAGGCTTCTTAGCACTTCTGGATCGCTTTGGCTTTTTCTGTAGGCAAAAGCCATCTTTATGACCGATGACTTTACACTTCCTGCATCTATGCTGCCTAAATGGACAGTTCCGTACATAGTGCCATGAACCGCAGTGCCAGCAAGCAGAAGGTGGATTCATTTTGGGTTTTTGGGCCGAATTGAAGCGGGGTGAACTGGGTGTAGCATGGGCAGACTTATAATGATTAGGTGGCTGCTGTACCAAATGAATTTCAGATCGGCTTGAACTACCACTCTGAACTATAGTCGAGTCTCGTTGTAGGTTAGTGAGACGTTGGTACTCATGAGCCATATCATTAAGCGTAAGCTTTGGATCTTGCTCCAACCGACTTAGTAGCCTTGTTCTAATGTCACTGAACTTGCTCGACTGGAGGCTGCAGATGAGTATAAGGGCTTTGAACTGGTCTTCCGACAAAGACTTCAACCGAAAGCGTTCGCATTCACGGTTGACGATGCCCACGTGCGTGAGAAAATCATCATCTTCGTTCATAATCAGCTTCAAACATCGATAACGAGTATTAAATAGTGACGAGTTGTCTCCAAAGTGTTGGCTTAAAGTCTGAACAGTCTCAGAAAACGAACAATCTCGTGGGTTCAAAGGCAGGATCAAATTACAGTACTTATCCAGCTCACTTGCGCCCAACTTTCGAAGTAGCAGCCGAACCTTCCAAGCATCATCTTGATTGGCGAAATCAAATTTAAATAAATCTTCATAACGCCGGAACCACATGTCAAAAGTGACATTTGCATCAGGATCATAATGAAATTCAGATATGCTACTTGCGATGCCGTCGACCGATGGAGCTGTGGTTGCATTAGATGAGCTGGGCTGTGTGGAAGGGGAAATCTTCATGTCTGTCAACATCTGCATCAGTTTCAGCTGCTGCTCAAGTAGTAATTCAAGTTTGGCAGGATCCATATTTCCAAAAGCACCGTCGCCACTGATAAGTTCGTCACTTAGTATGCTTGAGGCTATTACGAGTTTACCTTAGTCGATAAACGCGAACGAGACTTTTACCAGCTTCCAGGAAGGCTACCGTGAATCCAACGGTAAAACAGAAGTCTTGGTAAGCGTAGAAGTATATTCTACAAACACCCAGCAATCACACAACAACCAAGCATACAACTCTCGTTTATTTATACAACATAACAACGTCCTTGAGACAGTTAAGAAAATAGCATACTAAAATACACAGCAGCCAATCACAGCCATGGATTTTCCTGGTGGGAATTGAAATCTCAAGGTCATTTGATCAGCCCATGCTGGCGAAACGTGAAAACCAAAATACGGCATTATCAAGCGAATTTTGGGGATCTAACATCCCCAACAAATTCCAACCTTGAATATTCACGAATCATTCATTGTGTTCTGTTCACTAACTTGTACATTTACAGTACAATTTTATAACACGCATTACAGTTTGATCATTAACAAGAAATATGTAAAAATTGTCGAATAAAAGTTTGTCAGTTTTTAAGATTTTCGATTTGATTAACACTTCTTGTAGTTTGTACAAGCAACTTGGATCACAGTTTTATCATAGTTGGAAAAAACTCACGTACAATACTCAAAAATGTAAATCAACACAAAGAGTTGACATAACGTTTCATTAGTGATATTATTATTATTCAAAAATATATTTGTAAATAAGGATGAACGATGATTGGCAACATGATAAACTTGTTATTTATTTATTTGGTGTTGTTTTAATTAATTCTGAACTTGTCTCAACTGTTTGATACAGGTTGACTGCAAAACAGATTACAAATTTAATTGATATGATGATATGATTATTATGTATTAAATTATTTCTAACTTTTACTTTTCTTCATTCAGTATGTAAAAAGATGATGGTATTAAGCTTATCTTTGACGTTTTAACATCATATAAACAACATGTTTATAGATTGTTAATTTGCGCTTTGTGCATGAATTTAGAAAGATTAGCCGTAATTATTCTTTCTGCATATACATGGTAGGTTGGAATTGACTGGTTTCATTCTATTCTAAAAATTCGAAACCTTTGTTTTTTTAGCATGATTATGTTTTTCCATACTTCATAGTTTATGATTTGCTATGGAATGATGATCTGTAGTTTACCAGATTGTTGACGTACCTTTTAAGTTAGGAAGCTTGATTTCAAGCTAAACAATTGTATCTCGGATGAGTTGTTCACTATTTGTCAGTAAAGATAAAACCATATTAATTAAAGTTCGGTTGTTTTTCTTTCAAGCTCAATAAAATTAGAATTCAATGCGTAAAAGAAATGATCACTGAAAATATAGTCTAGGTTATAAAACTTGTCATTTCATGTAGAAATAGATTAAACCTAGTTAACCAGTCAATAATTTAGATGATATTTCATCAGAATCATCAGTAAGTAAAAACGTATGCTTTTGATGTTTTGAAAGCGGATTGATAATCCTGTTTTTGTAACATCTCACTTTTAATAAATGTTTATACTAGAACCTGTCACATTATAATAGTAATTATTATTATCAAAGATCTAAGTTTTGAAAGCCAAATTTTGCTGAGCTCAGTAGTTGCTAATTATGCGCTGAATTATCGTACTGAATCTACAGTATGAATACGCTCTTTATGTGTACTTACGTGGATATATAGTTTTATGCAAATGATTTCAGCATTAAATAAATAAATTGACTAAATTTCGTGTCCATCACTATTTTACTCTTCTGCTATACATAAATTTCACTTTCTGTACTAATTTTATACAAGATTTTATTTTTTTGTCAAATATGCATTATTTTTAACTTGTCAAATAGTTTTAGACATTGATTTAAAAACTGGGGAACTGTTATCGATCTGAATTCTATGTTTCTCTGTATATTGATCTTGGCTGTCATTTAGGGATGAATTCGTATGTCTATATACATATATATTCATTACCGAAATTGTTATTCCATTCAGTGCTGCCTAAATTCACATGCAGACAAATGATAATGATGAAATTAAAGTCAAACTAATTGAAATATTTAATTCAGCATTTGTCTCCCATTTGGAGTCACGCTTTCACAAACATAGATGAACAGACACGAATCGATCAGTTCGATTGATGTAAATGATTATTAATGAGCATATTTTAGCTAGCTAATTAACTGTGTATTAAAAACAGATAGTTCCGTGGGGGGTTTTCAATGTATTCTATACTATTTTCTTAGTTTTTCTATCCTTTTATATAAATTACTTAATGATAATGAAATAAAATGGATGAGAAAGTTAGGTAGTTATCTTATTTTAACCAATACATTTATATAATTTCCGAACCGTGAAAAACGGAACAAAATAGTTTTAGGTGATCAAATTTATATGATAGGAAGCGATAGGTCTTCGTATCGTTCCGATGATTAACGATTATTAAAAAATAACAGAGGTCTTTAAGGCTCTCAAAAGTATGGAAATTTCTTTCTTGTGTGTAAAACCCACTCTCTTAGTCTTCATTTTGATGGAGTGTTTAACATATTATCAGATAATCTGAGAAACGTCTTGAACATTGATTACGGTTGGTAGATATTTAATTTCATGTGGTCACCAAGAGATTCTCATGGGAATAATTGATGAACACTTGGCTCAACTTTTATTGATCTCGCATGAAGTATCAAAAACGATCAAAGTAGAATCATATATGTAGATTAAGTTTTTTCCAGATATATTTCTGTACTTACAGAAAACGGAATTAATTAAAAAGTAACAATTCTACTTACTTTTGTATTTCATTTTGAAGATGGGAATATAGCATAAAACGTTTTCATATCTGTTATTCGGAGAATTTATTTATGAAGATAAGTTTCAAAATGTTGAAATGCATAGATTGGCGTATGGATGTAATGACTGAATAAGTAGATTAGCAAATTAGATTAGTTAACGAAGAAAAAAAATCAAAACTACTCACTGATTGTTTATGCCCACATGAGGTATGAATTCAAGCAATAACTCGTAACTAATTATGATTCTAATGCACTTTCATCTTCAAAACTGATAAGTGAAAGATTCTCTTCAAAGATTTAGGTGTTAAGAAAGTTTGCTAAAATATCCTCTTAGTCCACAAGTAATTTCTACTGAAGTTGTCTGTGTTATGTTACAGTTGCTGAACAGCTGCATGCACCAGCTAAAATGAGATGAACTTTGAAGAAACTAAGAGAAAATTTAGCGCTTATCAATAAAGAGCTATAGTTCATGAAGACATCCAGTATAAACATAGATACACTTTTACTGATTGTTTTTTGATCTCCCTACAATAGTTTGGTCAACCATTCTATTTATAAAATACACTAGTTGTGTTATACCTAGCTAAGTATCAGTTATGTGTTGATGAATGTAGCTTTTGATTCTGGAAATATATTATAAGTCAGTTACGATTACAACATAGCGAATATACGACCAATCAAGCCCGAAGTTGCTGTTTCACTCAATGTTCTACTAATATATTTTGTCATCCTTCAGAAAACTCTAGATGCTTAAGACCACTTATGTTTAAAGGCATCTGAGATATTCTTTTGACGAAAAATCTAACTCTCTTTCATGTAACCTCAGTAATACAAAGTATACTGGGTGATCGTTTAACACAAGGGCCATTTAATGCTCCTGCGTATGAAAATAAAGTAGTTTACCAGTATATATTGTTCCACGCCTTATTTGTATTTATAAAAGCAGTACCTTAAATAGACTAGATAACTTTTTATGATTGTGAAAATAACTAGATATCTCGGAAGTTGTTTTCAACTTTATCAGTTTTTACTTCAATTTATTTATTGTTAGAATAGAACTTTGTTATTAACACTTAATTACTCAACAACTGTATTACTCATATGCGTGATTCTAGTTTTTGTCGGCTCAGCTTATATGTTATTTCTCTTGGCATTAGCTGTCAAACATTTTCAGATTGTTGTCTCTGTACACTTTGACTTACTGTGGATGTAAATCATCTAAAAATTCATTCAAGTTTCGCTAACGATTCTTAAATAAAACTCTTCCTGTTTAAATCATAATAGAATCCCACGCTGTAACATCATTTTTTCATGTTTAGAACTATTTGTGTATTCATCTGAGCTTACTGGTTTGTTGAAATTATAACAGCATGAAACAAGTTAATAAGTACCTAATACTGATTAATATTTTTCTCTGATACTTTACCTACTTACTAAGAACTAAGTACTATATATGAAAATTTGCCTAACAAGTGGGGTTATGTCTGAGACAGTTAACTTCAGTTCAAGTTTTGGAAAGTATAAAAAATATTGTAATTTTTGAAGGAATACTTTAGATAATCTGACGATCTCATAAAATCTCTCTGGACTGTTAGGTTGCGGTATGAGAAAACGAAGTCTGTGCTTGAATTATCTAATTGTACACTGACGTGGTACCAAAAGGAACAGCTGTTAAACTCTGGTGGTAACTGAAACGTTCCACAAATCATTTGTTTATAAGAATCCAATGCGTGTTAAGTATTGGCATTATTTTTATTCATAAACAGATTTGTCTAATAATTTCTGCGACTTATAATTGCGACATTAAAAGTCGTTATGTTGATTTTTAGAAATGGATGAAGATACCCAGCTTACGGAATCAATAAATTTTGATGATAAAGGATCATATATTTCAGAAACTATCCAAAGGCCTGACCTTCCTGATAACAGTTTAAATGTTTCTCAGTCCACTCCATCCGTTGAATTGAAAACCATATCTGAAACGTTATCAAATGATGAACACCTAACCACTTCCTCTGAACTTAATTCAGAATCCATTGGTCCACAGAGAGGCCGTACTACCACAAGATGCAATAATGTTCAAAACAGAGCAAAACGCGTGAGTTTTATTGATAATGTTGTGTGAATTATAGTCTTTGAATTTATCACTTGTATAATTTTTAAGTAACATGTCAATGGGAAGTAGCATTTCCTAGACCTCATCAAATCTCTCATCTATTATATCTACCTTTTAGAGGTTCAATGATTTTCTTTCTGTACGAAAAGTAAATACTGTTTGTGAATAAGCAATTTAAAGCATTTTTACGGTTGAACTTGATTTTCTCCGTTTGCTATGTTTACGCTTGAATAGCTGGTTGGATAAGATATAATTTGTCATCTCGAAGTTTAGCACACGTGGTTTGTCATACTTAACGGCAGGATTACTTTCAATATGTCTGGAACGATGAGATTGATCAGTCTAATGAATTAGTTATTCCTTGTTTACTTATTTTATGGATTCGATTTGGATCAGTTTTCATAACCAAAAAAACTGAATGAATGAAGTTTAAAAATAAGTGGAGTGATATTTAACCTAACACTTATCAGTTATCTACATAACTAAAAATAACACTCTATGAAAGATGAGACGACTTTGTCAAGCTTTTTGTCGTTCAACATATATTTTATAACAACTTTAATTATATACGTTACGCTGCAGCTAAGAAATAAAAACTGTTTTACTGAAAAATATGGTTGAATTAATTTTGTAATGTTGGTGGGAGCAACTTATGACCTACAAATGTAAGTTAGTTCATGCCAAGTCTAAATATTTTTTGAAGGCGAAAAAAATTTACAAATGTAGTCGGAATTTACTGTTCTACTGCTCTCAAACCTTTTCTATCAAACTTCTATACCTCACAAGTATAGTATTTTAAAACGAGTAAAAGTTAAACCTCAGTAATAGCTGCACTACATACGTCAAGTAATTAAAGTCTGAAAAACAATTTCCTTCTCTATCTTCTTGAACTAAAATACTTTTCTTAACCTCTGAATACCTCCTTTTTATCTTCATCAATTCCAAGCGATTTTCTTTCCAGTCGCTAAGAACTGAAATACTTTTAAATTCAATGGTAAATAAATTTAATGTTTTTAATTGTTTTCTGACAAAACTAAGCACACTTCTAAATTTATCACCAAATCATTGATTATGAAGTAAATGTTTCACTAGGTATGCCGATTTTATTGTTAAACAAAGGTCTTTCTTTCTTATTGTTGATTGATTCAAATATTACAAAAATTATATTGTGCATTTAAAGCCCCACAAGATTTGATCATACAAATATGAATACGTTTACATTTTGACGTAAATTTTTAGCACTCTTGTATTTTTGTTTACTACTCTAATGAACACTCCTAAAGCATCATTTTTCGTCATGAAAATAAGAAACTATTTTCTAATTGTGAACTACATACAAAACTTAAGTGATGAGTTTTTTTATGCTGTTGAATTCCAGGACTATATTTTAAGAGTTGAACTTGAACCTATCATTAGGTTAGCCCCATATTTCTTTGAATTAGAATTGACTGAAAGTGAATTGATTTAAATCTGTATTTTTCATTCTCAAGACATAGTAACATGGGATGTATATCAAAATATTCAAAGGCCGAAGTTCGAAAAAATTCATTACTGAATCCAGTACAAAGATGAAATGAGATTTAGATTATCTACGTATTTTTACTACTTGATCCGGTTAAGTACATTGTCTCTGTACAGTTTAGTATTGGTAACAGGTATTCTCACTCAAAAAATTTTAAAGGACACACTTAAGGTCTAAAGAAACCTAATTATAGGGTAATAAGTAATCAGTAATCCATAGTACAACTGAAAATCATTAGCAGCTGTTGCAGTTCATATGATAAGTTGATTGTTTGTTATCAATGAAAAGATGTGCTAGTTGGCATTTTAATGTTTTCCAAACAAATTAATATACTACGGCCTTGTTAAGAACATGAAATGTTAATTCTGATCAACACTCCACTTTGATAATTTGTATGCACCTTAACAAATATGAAGCCATATCCAGCCCAAGAAATTAGATACCATTATGACCTCACTGTGAAAGGTTTTGATATATGAAAGTTAGTTCTAGCAAGCCTCCATTAAGCTTACGTAGTTTGGCCCTCGTTAGCATGTTATACATACAATACTACAGAAAATGGTGTTAATGATGGAGTTGGTGCCCATTTTACCTTATGTTAACACTAAGAATGATAAATGAGGAAATTGCAATTTAGTTCACTTAAGATATCTTATTTCTGCAATAAGTTATTTGACTTAGATGTTCTGCAGGATTGCAACTTTTAATTGTGACACAAGGGTATTGTCTGATATTTAGGAGTGAAACTTAGATGTATCTGTACAACACAGCGCACTAACTAAAAAATCTGTTTAAAAGATGTTTCGCTAATATTCGAATAACTTTTTCTACGTAATTACTGCTTAAAACCATGTCATTAATGACCAACCATAATTAATTGCGTTCATTTTCTCACCTTTACATTCATGTCCCTATCAAGTTCAGAATAGCTCTTATTGACGTGAAACAACGCATGCTAGTATGCAACATAATATCACCGCTATCCACTGTGAACAGTACAAACATTTGTGGCAGAAAATTAATACGAAACTTGAAGATTATGAACTAATTAATAAAAGCTTAATGTGAGATGTGATTTATTTTCATTACACTGGTTGACTAGCATAGTTAATTTGTATTTTGATTTGAGACGTAACTAGTAAAACAGTCCACCATAGAATCTTATTTCATTTATGTCTAAGTTTGAATTGCGATTCGTTATAACTGATAGGCTTTGACTATTGATGTAGTGGAAATGATCTTTATTTGTATATCTATCTGGCTAAAGTGATTAGCTTTCTTAGAAGAGCTGCAAATATTTATTTACGTAGTTTATATAGCAGTTATCATTATTATTTATTTTCTCGCGTTTTGAATTAGAATGATTCATACAGCTTGTATTAATGAATTTTTCTGTTTAATCTTAACTTGTTTTATTGAATCTATCATATTCCGGAGTTTCTCATAAAAAACACTGTTAATGTGCATCTGATGTAAATTGATAGACAAAATTACACATTTCTGTTTGTATTTCCACTGGTATTTGCAGCTTTAACAGGTTTCTAGTTCGTAAAGATTTTATGTACTTTTTTATGTTCTTTAGTCCGCAGTTCATTCAGGTAGACAATCAGCAGAGAGTTTCAAAAACTCTTCTAAACTTCCAGCAATCAGCAAAAATCCGGACCCCTCAATTACTCCCAGTGATACAAGTTTTCCAGATTATGGAAACGGGTTTCAAAGCTCCAATCCTCCAGTTTGTTTGGTTTCTCGGCATTCCCCAAGTTGTCGTAGCAGAATTCGTATGCGTGATGAACAAATTATTGCTCGCTTAAGGACAATTGTGAGTCAGGGTAAACCATCAGAGAAATATGAAACCCTTGGGCGTATTGGCCATGGGTACGTCATTCATTGCATTTCTGTTTGTTTATTTTCAAAAGTGATATGCTGAGGTTACACTTATTGGAAATCAGAGATTCCATCAGATAAAATTGATAAATACTGCTCTGTATGCTTGTTATGTATCTTCGTAGTTAGTGAAAGATCCATGTGCATATATTTAGATTTTACGTTATTTGAATACTAAACAGATTAAACTATTGCTGAACACGTTTTTGAGAATGATGGTTGTTGTCGATAAACTTAATATTGAATATTTTAAGGCCAGTAATAGAAAGCTGTCGGTCTGCAAAATATACTTTAAGTAATAGCATTTCAAATATTAAAGACATTTGAATGTTTAATCGTTAAACTAATGAGTTGTTATAATTCATGCGTTCATTAAAAACATATTGTAATTCCAAATTTATCTTTATCAGAGATACTGTTGTAGACTAAAGTGATATGACTTTATTTTACTATTCTGTTAACTTTCATTTTGATTCAATAGTGAAATAGCACTTGCCACACTAATCGTATTACACGTTAAATTCCTATTCAGTTATGTGGTGTGGGATACACTAAGTGATATAATATGAAACCATAATCAACCTTGATTATGTCATTTCTTTCTGAGAGAGCAATATTTACGGAAAGTCGACATCAGCTGAGTATCATCGAGACGTTTATATGTAGGGTTGGATTTTGTAAATAAAATCCATTTCTCTGTTTACAATCCATCTTGTGTTCTTTGAATGAGAATAACGATTTGAATTTATTAAAGGAGAACGCATCTCATTCAGAGAACTATGAATCAATTAGCTATGTTCTTTCTGTTTAGACTTTAAGATTATTATTTTATATCCTGTTATTCGTGATATTCATTATACTCTGATGACCACAATTTGTATTTATCAATAATGATTAGAGCTTCTGGTGTTGTTTATATCGGACGAGAACTTCAGTCTGGATGCCATGTAGCTATTAAACAGATGAGCCTGCGACAACAGCCTAGAAAAGAATTAATCCTCAACGAGATTTTAGTTATGAGAACATATCGAAATCCAAATGTAGTCAATTACTTGGATAGTTATTTAGTAAGTTCTATACTTCGTATTATTATATATTAACTACGTCATATTACTTCTGACATTAAATAATGTTTAAATGAATATTCACTTTAACTAACACTACAAATTTTGCTACGGGTATGAGGGTGGATGTCACTTCTCGGCTGCTCATACTGTGGAAGGGTACCTCTTGAAGAACCTGAAAAGGAAATCGGGTTGGCATTAGTCTAAGCTACCTAGTGGCGTGATCATGGTGCTCAAGATACAACTGCTTGAGGCCGACCACGCATACGCTTTTTATGCGAAGAAAATAGCTTCGCTCTTCAGTTGGCCTTATCGCCGAAGACGGAAATCCGCGGGGCAAGGTAAGGTGTGACATTTTTAGAGTCAACCTTTCCTAGCAGTCTCCTTCAATATGGGAAGGCGGCATCACTGCAGAATCAGGTTTTCCGAGAGAAACACCTTAGAGTTATTATATCTCTGTACAGCCAGCAGTACGACTTCGACCTCTGACTTGCTGCTTTTAGTTTTCCCGTTCTCCGATTGACTTGTCTGGCGTGGTTGGGTCGAAACGTATATTTTTTTCAGCCAGTATAGCTCGGTTGGGTCGCTAAAACAGACAATCCCGACCACCACGTCAAGTTAGCAGATACCTTCGGGATTCGAAAAGAGAATTGCATCTCTGTATTAGTGTGGTATGGTAACTTGAACTTTGTACGTACGTACAAAGTTCTACGTTGTATCTGACTAACTGACTAACATGTTTTGTCAGTCGATGAACTTGGATCCAGCTGTTTCATTTACCGTACAAACTAATTTACATTTACATAATGTGCAAGTATTTTACACTTTTACAAACATTAAAATATGATACTGACAGCTGGAAACTTCACACATTTTATGGCAAAAATTCAAAATAATTCATAAAAAACTGCTTTAATGTTAAACCAAAACAAGCTATTAGTAATGTTTTGTGTTATTAGGAACATAAAGTAATCATTTATAGATTCGAAATCATCAACCAATCATAGTTAGACCACCATTAGAAACCTAGAAGCACTGGACGGCCCTTTCGTTCTGGTATGGGACTCATCAGCAGTGTGCATCCACGACTCCTGCTCCTCACAGGATTCGAACCCAGGACCTTCGGCATTGTGCGCGAACGCCTAACCATCGGACCACTGGGCCGGCATCCAACGGTGTTAATGTCTAACTCTGATTGATCTACGGATCTTGCGCGACCTCAGTGATTGATTGGGACCGGCAGTAACCTCAGAGCGGCTTCAAGCTGAGTTAATAACTCGGTTGCACGAAGTGAATTTCAGAGAATTTTTATCAACACTTCCAAAGTCATCTAATAATCTATTTATCAAAATCAAGTTTACATCCTTCTTTTACCTTGATATTTAGTTAGGTGATGAATTATGGGTCATAATGGAATATTTAGATGGTGGTTCATTAACTGATGTCATAACAGAAACATGCATGAATGAATCACATATCGCTACCGTTTGTCGTGAAGTAGGTTCACTATTAATCCGTTTATTCTCTTTTGTTTATCTGCAAATCAACTGTCAGTATTTAAAATGACTATTGTATTTCTGCCATGTACAAGCATAAATGTAAAACTAAAACAAATTTGAATTATCCTTGTTTTTTAGGCTTTAACAACCGATAACATAATACATTCAGCATCATATAAATAACAGTCAATTAATTGTATAAATACTGGGTTCAAATAATTAATTTCAAAAACATGTACTAAGAGCACTTTAGTGAATTTTTCTCTGCCTAAGTAATACATGGATGGAGTTCTCTTAAAACGCAACAGGCCTTTTGGTCTGGCTTTTAGTCTTGCATTGAACGAATAATATCCAGAACAATTTCTTTTGGGTCAAATGGATGATGGCTCAGTGAAACGGTCGATTTAAAAGAGACCCACTTCGCTGAGACATTATTGAAGCTTTCATAGCTGACTGGTACGGCTTTGTGATTGTTGGGATAGCCAATCGAGAAGAAAGCCATGCACATTGTGGATTGATGAACTTATCGATTGACTGCCCTTGAAATATTTAAGCATTTAATTGATAAGTTCATCAATCCACAATGTGCATGGCTTTCTTCTCGATTGGCTATCCCAACACCTCCCCAGAATAAGATTTTTTTTCTTGGGTCCACTTGTAGTCTTACGACTGGTTTGCGGCGGCGTTCCATTCTGGTTATAGTTTCTCGAGTTAATGTCTCCAACCTTCCCTTTTCTTCGGCATTCCGGGACAAATGTGTAGTTGTCGGTTCTGTGATCAACTCCAGGGGTAGATTCACGCGATTATCACCCGAGCGTGCCATTCTTTCGTCCCTTCGCAGTTGGTTCGTGTGTCTAACACAGCTTCCGAAAGCTCCTATGATTCGATACAAAACTCTTCCTAGTCTCTGGACGACTGTTCCTGGTTCCCATTGATTTTTACCACGATATGTTTTTAGTAACACGGCATTGGAGCAAGCATTTCGCATATCATGCCTGATGGGTCAGAGAAGGCAATCTCGCATGCAGCAAGGTCTTTAACTACAACAGAACGTAAGTATAGTCAGATTGAGAAAGAAGCTTTGTCAATTATTTTTGCCGTAAGAAAATTTCACAAGATGATATTTGGACGCAGCTTCACACTCTTAACTGACCACAAACCGCTGCTAGCCATATTTGGGTCAAAGAAAGGGATTCCAGTCTATACGGCGAACAGATTGCAACGATGGGGAACCACATTATTGGGCTACGACTTCAAAATTAAGTACCAACCTACTACTTCTTTCGGACAAGCTGACGCTTTGTCTAGACTCATTGGTTCTCAAGCGAATCAGGGAGAAGATATCTTGGTGGCTGCGATTGAGTCAGAAGTACATCGAGTGTTGAAAGACGCAGTAGATGGTCTACCAGTTACATTCAAAGCTATTAAAGAGGCTACAATAAATGACAAAATACTACAAGAAGTCAAAGGTTATATCCTCTCAAAGTGGCCGAATCGTCGTCTACAAGGAGAACTGCAACAATATTTCCGCCGGCGCGATTCACTCACTGTTATCGACTCATGTATTATGTTTGGTGACCAAATTATCATTCCAAAATTATTGCGACATAAAACTCTCAAGCAATTTCACATTGGTCACCCTGGAATAAACAAGATGAAATCGTTGGCGCGCAGCTACGCCTACTGGCCCTCGATGGATAACGATATAGAAACCAAATGCCGAAACTGCCTTTCATGCATACAAGCCGCAAAAAACCCTTCGAAATACGAGCCTCAACAATGGCAGAAACCTACTGGACCTTGGGAGAGAATTCATGCAGATTTCGCTGGCCCAATCCAAGGTAAAATGTTTCTAATTATTGTAGATGCGTATACAAAATGGCCAGAAATATACAGCATGCCGAATTGTACAGCCTCAGAAACTATTCAGAAGCTTTCTACCTTATTTAGTTGTTTCGGAGTGCCAGAAACATTGGTAACTGATAATGGATCACAATTTGTTGCCGACTCATTCACACGATTCTGCAGTTCAAACGGCATAACGCATCTACGGTCCCCACCTTACCACCCCCAATCCAATGGACAAGCTGAACGCTTCGTGGACACCTTCAAAAGAGCCTTACTGAAAGGGGGAGACGAGGGGCCAACTAGCCAAGTAATCACGAGATTTTTAACGGCTTACAGAAGCACTCCGAACCCTATGGTCCCAGAGGGGAAGTCTCCAGCCGAAGCAATGTTTGGAAGACGTATTCGGACTATTTTTAACGCGATGTTGCCCCCTAAAAGAGCGAATAGATACAGGCCAAATCAAAATATTCGCAGCTTCAACGTGGGCGATAATGTGTTCCTAAAAACATATCGTGGTAAAAATCAATGGGAACCAGGAACAGTCGTCCAGAGACTAGGAAGAGTTTTGTATCGAATCATAGGAGCTTTCGGAAGCTGTGTTAGACACACGAACCAACTGCGAAGGGACGAAAGAATGGCACGCTCGGGTGATAATCGCGTGAATCTACCCCTGGAGTTGATCACAGAACCGACAACTACACATTTGTCCCGGAATGCCGAAGAAAAGGGAAGGTTGGAGACATTAACTCGAGAAACTATAACCAGAATGGAACGCCGCCGCAAACCAGTCGTAAGACTACAAGTGGACCCAAGAAAAAAAATCTTATTCTGGGGAGGTGTTGGGATAGCCAATCGAGAAGAAAGCCATGCACATTGTGGATTGATGAACTTATCAATTAAATGCTTAAATATTTCAAGGGCAGTCAATCGATGAACTATTGGATTTAATATTCAAATATTTAAACGACAATATCGATTATATGTATAATTGTATAAATACGCATGTTTGATTGTATATTTTTGATTCTGTTAATAAGTGTTCTCCAACGTCTTCCGTCTTTCTATTTTTGACGGTGGGATTCTAACGTTTCGAGGGTCATTAATACAGTGGTTTGGCGTTACATCAAGCAGAAAACATAAAAGTGATGTGTCACTTTGTTGGTATCTAATAAATCTAAAGTCTGGATATAACTGGTTACATCAGACATCTGACAGAAAGACTATCACGCAAAAAATATCCATTGAAGTTTGCAAACCTCTAAATAATTCGGTGTATATCTAAGCTCTATCTTCAGTTTACCTAAAAGAAAAACTTATATTTTATCGTATAGAAGGTAGTCAATCATTTATAAATCGATTAGAAATATTCGTGATATTCTCTGAAACTGTCTATTTATTTATTCACTTTATAGGTTATTTTGTTGTCAACATTCCTCATTATCACAAAATTAGGTGCAGATAATTGTTAAATATTATGGTAATTTGATATGTTGATTATGAGCTTTCTTTAGTCTTATATTGTAAGAATGAACAAACAACATTATTACTTCAATAAAAATATAAGTTCACTACATAAATTTCGCAGAAAGACTAATTATTTCTAACTGTTGGCTTTGACAATTGTGCTAATGTCACTACAATAAAGTGTGTTAATTATCAATGTTCAATTTGCTTATTACCACTGAACGTTGAAATAAATTACGATGAAATTGCTAAATTATAAAATTTCATTATTCTCACTTTGTATATAAAGAAAACTTTATAAGTGTTTCAATAAGTTCTGGCAATAAGTTTCGCATAAATTGTATTCTACTCAATAATATCATAGACAGTGAATGCTTTCTAGTTCAGTTACCATTAATATATTACTATAATGTAAATATATATGTCATTCGTTTAACATCAATATTTGTCATTCTTTTCCACAATGTAAGCACGATACACTAACAACGTTGTAATAATGACTGACTGTCGGTTTATTAAACTACGCCATCAATCCCATTGTAGAGGCAATATAGGGATTTATGGATTAGGATGGTACCTAAAATATGTGAATATTATTCCGGATAAACTTGTTTGGCAACATTGATTTATTTCAGATTTTCATTCTGTATATTATTTTGATTTTGATTGGAAAAACTGGTGTAGTAAAATTGTTCCTACTGTGAAAGGTTGTAACACTTTATGCTGATGAACTTTAGACATTTTAATATAAAAATATTAACTAACAAATTTAACTGTCTAAAATAAATGTATATAGCACAGATTTTGATGAAATGAAGTTCCAAGAAAGAGTATTGGTTCACCAATCAATCCAGTCGTTCTAAAATTGCGAAACATTTTAATCTAATCATCGAATAAATAAGTCTTAGATGTGCCAAACACTTGAAAGGCATCTTTTTAATTTTACTCTTTACAAATAAAAATTTGAGATAATTGTATCTTTTAAAATGTTAGCGAAATATTTGAACCTGTACTAAACTTTATATTTTCAACCTGAGCGTAGGAATCTTCAAATAACGATTGTATTGAGCTGATTGTACCTTACTTGAAACAAAATATTGGGTTTATTCATTTAAAACAATATTTTATTTAACAGAACTAAAGAATGTATTAAAAAATCCATATATGCGCATTATGCTTATACTCTTGAAATGGATCGCCAGATGTTTCCATTAAAATGTTAATTACAATAAATTATGTTATTTGAAAAAAATCCAATCATTTCTTGGTTTTAGACATTGATTTTAAGCATTTGTGTCTATCTCTCCTATTCATGATAATCACATGAGTAAGTGAGCTATAAACATGCTGCATCACCTGACAAAATCTGAAAACAGGTACGTAGTATTGGTTTACTTACTTGTACAATTAAGAAGTAAGCGAGAGTTGGAACGTTTTATCCCATATCGTTATAACTGTTTTACGGGTACTTCAAATCAAAATATAGCCACGGTAGGAAAGTGAAGGTAATCGATAAAAGTGAATAACATAAGAAATGCGGTGACAAGGTACAAACATCATATTATGGTGTTTAATTTCACATCTTTAAGTGACCAAAAAATATCTATATGATTATACCATGAAAATTAGTACATATTAGTTATCTTTTCACTGAAAGACTGTCAATTTTTCCCACCAGGCGATTGTCTGCCAGTTACTAGCCACAAAAGACATGAGCTAGCTTAAAAAGTAAGTAATTCAGTCCGAAGAATTTCTTAAAGAAAGTACATATGTTGTTGATTTCGACCAACTGTTAATTTTGTTACCAATGATAAGTTTTCATCATCACATACAGAGTTATAAATTTTAAATATAGTTTTCAAGTAAGGATTTGTCTGTTCAGGAAAAAATGAAATTCCTGATAGCAAAAATATTTGCGTTTTTTCTTAAAATTCAGCAAAATGTATTTGCTAAAGCTTGTACATATCGGTTGGAAGTTACATGCAAGGAGAAACGGATGAAGAAAGTCATAATAAAAGGGATACTGATGAGGTATTATAATGAAATCTAAACAGTTAAAAAGAGCACTCGATAATGTAACGAAACGTACGACTGAATATCCCCACCTTTGTAGACAAAAAGTAAGTTTATAGTTAGCGAATGAAAAAACTTTATGAATAACGTCAGCAGTATGTCTGTACTTCACTTAAAATATTTGCTTTCAAGACAATCCTAGTAGAACATTGTGAGCAGAGCACATAGCGTCTTCAAAAACAGATACGGTAACTGACCCATGCTGATCTTTAGTCTTTTGGACAGTATATCACTTGTAAACAGATATAAAACTGATTTGCTTTATGCAGAATACCCAACTACTTACAGATAGCTAGAACAAATATTTGAGCATAATAAGATGAAATTCTTTTCATTTACTTCATCTTATCATGCTCAAAGCTTAGTTCATGCTCTGTTCAAAATGATAAAGTGGACTATGTGTATGAAAATTCTTACAGATAAGCGGACATGGTGACAGACTGATATAACAGAGTAAGCCTGAAGTATAAAATTGCCTTTCACTCACTGATTTATAAGTAACAACGTTCCTTTTATATGTATGCATTATGCAGGCTCAAATTTTATAAGCAAATTTATGCACTTTGATAAAGGTGGTACTGATTTTCATCATTGCATATTCTTTTTTCTTCTATGCTATTTAATATTAACATGATCAAGTTTCGTATATGCTTTGTAGATCTGTATAATTATATTTAAGATTCTATTTATTGGAAATTCCAAATAAATGTTTACTATCATTACTGGTAGGGCACAAGATTTAAAAAGAGACCATTCTTTATGGATTCACTTTAGGAATTTATTTCTTGTCGAATAATTTATCACTACTGTAAGGGTGAGTTCAATAAAATTTGAATGTTTCACTAAATAATTGTATTTAATATTTGACTTTTTTTCTAAAAGACATTACAAGCTTTGGAATTTTTACACAGCAAACATGTAATACATCGCGATATAAAGTCTGATAACATACTCTTGGGGTTGGATGGTTCTGTAAAATTAACAGATTTTGGATTTTGTGCGCAACTGTCTGCTAAAAATGATGATTTCAAACGAACTACAATGGTTGGTACACCGTATTGGATGGCACCTGAAGTAGTAACCAGAAAACAATACGGTCACAAAATTGATATTTGGTCATTGGGTATAATGACATTAGAAATGCTGGAAGGTGAACCGCCTTATTTAAGTGAAAACCCTTTAAAAGTAAGTACATTTCATTGTACTCATTTTTAATGTTGAAAGTTATATTTTCAAGTAAGAAACTCTATAATTCGGTAAATTAATTTTCGTTGAATGATAAAGAGAAATTATTAGAACAGTTATCAAAGCTATTCTTTTTATTGAGTGATAATGTCAAAGAAAAACATTATATTTACTAGCACACTTTTGTATGAAGCTCAGTGAATTGAGTAAGTGGATTAAAGATTTTGCAAAGAATAAAAATTTTTTTAAGTTACTACTGAATCAATTGTGTATTTAAAAAAACAATTATATGATATTTCACAATTAATGTAACAGTGAGATAATTATTGAAATGTTAAAAAAAAATGATAAGTTGTCAGTAATAATTACTGATTGATGAATGATGAGAATTGATTTATGTGTATATTTTATATTAACAAAAACATATTTCATGAAGATTGCTATTTGTTTTTGCATTATTAAAATGGATGAAAATTGTGACAATTTAAATATAATGAACTTTTTTAAACAACTTTACATGTATTGATTTTACTCATTCAGGTATGAATAAGTTTCATAAATAAACTGTGTATATTTTTGGAAATTATTGTTAATACCTTTATTGGCATCGGTATTTATTTTTACAACTATACAATTTTGTAAGATTTTCTAGCGGAATATCGATTATTGACATTGAAAATTGATATTTAATCCTAACAAATCCATTAGTAAGCTATGAGTTTAGGTTGATAGGAAATGCTATCAATAAGATTTCGGTACAGTCTAGAACAGATTATGAAAAAACAATTCATAATTTTTGTATGAACTTGTAAAATGTGAAATACGTCATACTCTTGCAATCAACAAGCTAATCACAAATTTCCAGAGCGTTTGATACCACCAATTTTTCGACATTATGCTACCAGTCTTTTTATTCCCGTTAAGGTGTCCAGGATGTTTGTAATCTATCAAAAAACTACCTTATGTATATATATATATATATATATATATATCATATTATATATGTGTGTATATGTATATGTAAGTTCTACCTAACTTTTTTGTGGTCACTGTAAAGGAAGTATCGCTCTCAAAGAAAAAGCCTACCGAATGATCCCATAAGAATTACCTATTATTGTATTCCTAAAAAGAAAAGCATAATAACCATTCTATTTCCAGCTTTTAAAAAAATAAATCTACATTAACTAATATAATTACCACATAGTGGTTATGATTCGAATAAAATCGTCTTGAATACTGACAATGTGGAATACAGATCTCTGCAAATTATAACAATGTGAATTGTAGTTATCTTATCGTATGCAGTACTTTAAAATTTCAGTTCGTTACACATACTATCACAATAACTCAAGGATTAGTATTTTGTAAATATTAAGAAGACAGTTGTAATAATCAGAACCTTTCAATTAAGTTATTACAAATCTAAAACAACAAATATGAGCGAACAATTTTGATTTTGTTTTTGATTAGATCGTCATCAGGCTTTACTCTAATATACATATATACGAGATGGTTTTAATGTTTTGTAATGATTATTTTAAGTCTATTTGTCCACGTTTGACCTACTATTGATAAAACTTTTGTTATTGTGTTTTATTTTTCTTACTACTATCAGTACACCTATCTTCCTACTATCAACTTGTACTTTTGCCTACTATATGTGGTGACGTAATCTATTTCATTTCATTGTGATTATTGACTCAAATTGCCTTGATTGGTTTCATATAAATATTCATGTATATTAGAGTATAACCTGATGACGATCTAATCGAAAACAATATTGTTCGCTGAAATGTGTTGTTATAGAATAGTAATAATTTAATTAAAAGGTTCCAATTATTACAACTGTCTTCTTAATATTTATAACCATATGCTATAAATATTAAGGTCGCACAATTTTTCAGCAGTTGAACTGTTTTGGAATTCATTGGAATTATTCGTATCTATTGATATGATAGAATGCCATCAAGAGCATTGCACCCATCAGCTGATTCATCAAAATATTAGTGGATAAATCTTATAAAAGTTGGACCTTTCGAAAACGGCATAAAATTAAAATAACTTTTGGCATTGTTATTCTTAACTTGAAATAAAAAGGATGATTTAATTACTTCTTGAATAGTTGATAGCTTTTGCAGTTTGTTTGTAATATAAGCTGTTACTTGTTTTATGGTCATATATATGTAAGGAGTAAAAATTATTTTGTGGCAGACGGCATAACAGAGCGCTAACTATAATTGGAAGGTTTTTAGATAACACTTCATTCTGTAGCTATAGTCAGTTAGTCAGTTACAACGTAGAGCTTTGTAGGTAAGTACATCAGTTTAAGTTGCCATACCATATTAGCGAAGAGATGAAGTTGCCTATTCAAAAATGAAAGTAGTAGAGGTAGCAGAAGTATTCGCAGTAATCGGAGAGATAAAGGTTTGAGGATAGTATTCAAGAAGTAGAATCTAGTGAAATAAGCTTAAAAAGAAATATACACATGTCATGAGGAATTCAGAAGTTTAGAATTTGACAGAACAAAAAGAGTGGATGCACCTGCGCCATTGCAAACGATTTTGAGCCATGTCATACAAGATCTCTAACTGTCGATTGCTATCATCTCGTGAACCTCAACCAGGTAGTCTACATGTGAAAAAATGACTCAGTACACTTGTCAATGATTTTATGGATTTCTGCCATGTTTTGTTCTGGCCGCCCCTGGCTTTCTTCCAACTTATTCCTACACCCCAAAACATCGCTCGTCGAGGCAGTCAGTGGTAAGGCGTACGCAGCACATGTGCCAACCATCTCAACTGATGAAGTTCCAATACTTCATCTACCGATATGCCTTCCCTACCTCCCACTCGTTTCCTGACGACAGCACTGCTTGCTCGGTTGTCCCATGGATATACGAGCGATGCTTCTAAGACATCCATAATCGAATACTAATAACCTACAAATATCCTCAACTCTTGCCGGTCATGTTTCACATCCATATAGTGGGATGGAGCGAACTACTGCGAAGTAGACTCGTCCTTCGGTTAGCAGACGGATATTTTGCCTACGCCATAAGTGACGAAGGTTGGCAAAAGCCAGTAGAGCTTTCTGCATCCGTGCTAAGATTTCGTCAGACACCAAGCCGTCAGTAATGATGAGACTCAGAAGATAAGTGAAGTAGTCAACACGCCCAACTGCTTCACTCCCCAACACTTCGACTCTCATTTAGAGCTCGTGAAGAGCAGACTCGAGAAAATCAGGGTTTGTTCAGACTTGGTGCTGTCTGAATAAACCAAATATTCACACTTCCTCATGTCCTAGAACATAGACATACGTCCGACAATAGTTGTACTCATTGACCTTGAGCATAGGACTTTGTCAACCGTGAGGTTCTATGGCAGTGTCTGTCATTGAAATGAGAATCAAAGAAATACGTTAACCTTATGCACGTTTTCTACCCGAACACCCCTGTACGAGAGTCAGAGCTTATGGGGAACTATGATGGGAACTGATTGTCTGGAGTGATGTTTATCATGGTTGTCCACTTTCCCCATTTTCGTTTAACCTTATCAGTAACATCAATTTATAGATGACACTTTCATCGTCTGACGTTTTAGGAGTTGACTTTCTACCAGAAAATTCACCTGTTGACTTAGAATACGCCGATGACACAGATGTTTGGTGAAGGCGCCGACAATTTGTAGTCTTCTGAACACGTTAGCAACAATGCATGCATATTCGGGATGCCGTTTCCACCTTTGAAACGCAAAATATTACTTAATGATTGACTTGGAACGCTAATCTTCTCCATTAATGCTGATAATTCCACTATAGCTACCACTATTTCACCGGAAAGAGAAAGGATGAGAGTAAACACCCTTTCCTAACACCGGTTTTCACCTTGAATGAGTCTGTGAGCTGTCCTCCGTGCACGATTTCGCAGTTTAGTTCATCGTGAGAATTCCGTATGATGTTGACTATCTTCTCAGTGTCAAAGAAGCCTCCAAAGTGTCGTCCTGTCCACACGATCAAACGCTTTCTTGTAGCCAATAAAAATGATGTAGAGTGGTGAATTCCATTTAATTGATTGCTCCACAATGATCCATATAGTTGCGATTCGTTCGGTACACGATCGATTCTTACGAAATCCGGCCTGTTGATCTCGAAGTTGAGGGTCTATGGAGTCCTTCATTCTGTTTACCAATGCTCTGTTGAAGACTTTCTCTAGTACTGATAGTAGAGTGATATCTCTGTAGTTGTCACACTTGTTGAGATCTCCTTCCTTTAGTATTTCGATCAGGTGTTCTTGTCTTCAGTCTTTTGGTACTTGTTCTTTATCCGAAATCTTGTGAAGAGAATGTGGAGTATGTTTGCAGTTACTTCTGTTTGCTTTCAATGCCTCAGCTGAAAGGTCGTCTGGTCTCACTGCTTAGCCTCTCTTGATTTGTCTAATGGCCATGCTGGTTTCTTTATTGTTGGTTGTTGGTTGAACATCAACTGTGAGGTCTGTAGGTGCTGCTTCAATGTTGGTTGGGTTCAGTGTGACTGGTCGATTCAAGAGTTCTTCAAAGTGCTCTACTCACATGTTTTGCTGTTCCTCAATGTTTGTGATTGCTTTTCCTTCGTTGCTTTTCGCTGATCATTCTGGTGATTACCAGCGAGCTTGCTTGTTATGTCATACAATTGTCTCATGTTTCTTTCTCTTTCAGCCTTTTCTGCCGTCATTGATAGATCTTCCACGTATTTACGTTTGTCGGCTATGATGTTCCTCCTCATTTGTCTGTTTGCTTCTGTGTATTCAGCTTGTGTCTCGACTTTTTCTACTCTAGTTCAGATGATGTTGATTTCCACCTCCATTTTCATCCTCTTTTGAATTTTTTCAAGGTACTAGCACAGATCCATTCCTTATGACGGTACTTCTAGTGGCCCAGAACCTCCTGACATGTTAAAGTGATTGCCTCTTTGATCCCTTTACAATTTTTCTCCATGGAAGTTTCCTCTCCCTTGAGTAGATCGTGAAAAGCCTGGAACCTATTGTTGGGGGATATTTTGAATTCGTCGAGTTTGTCAGTATCCAGAAGAAAGATCGGATTAAACATTTTGATATTGTTCACTCCATTGTCAAGTGCGTTTGGAGTTTCATTTTCGCGACCAGCAATTGGTGATCTGAGGCTATATCAGCCACTCTCTTGGTTCTCACGACTTCCATGGTCCTTCAAAACTTTTCATGAATACAGATATGGTCGATTTGGTTCTGAGTAGTGTGATCCGTTGAAATCCATGTAGCTTTGTGTATGCGTTTGTGTGGAAATATTGTGCCACCAATGACCAGTTTGTTGAAGGCACATACGTTTGCAAATATCCACCATTTTTGTTCCTTTCTCCTAGTCCAAGTTGTCTCATGATATCTTCATATCCAGTTTTGTCCATACCAACCTTGGTATTTAGGTCTACCATTAGAATCGCCAAAATCCTTGATGAGCATTTGTCGACGATTTACTGCATCCTCCTGTAGAATCGATCTTTAACGTCTTAGTTGTAGTCGTTGGTAGGTGCAAAGCATTGGATGACGTGCATTGTAATGTCCTCTCTTTTGTTTAGAAGGATACTTTGATGATCGAGAATCTATGGGATTCTTATCCTATATGGGCATTTTATGTTTCTCCTAATGTGAGTGAGGCATTTTCTTCTTCGTGGGCGGAGTATAACAGCAACTCTCCTGAAGCTAGTTTCAGTTGTCCAACCTGTGTCTAGTGCGTTCCACTGATTCCAAGCACCTCCAGGTTGTATCTCTTCATTTCTGCGGCAATGTGGAACAGTATTTCGGTCTCCCACATTGTTTGAACATTCCTAAAGGTATAACTAAAGGAATGGTTACTCTGGCTGTCAGAAGGGGTATCGGCCTCTTGACTTCCGAGGGAACTCGGCTTTCATCATGAGGCGTCATAACTTTTCTGAAATATATTTTCTGTCTGGCTAATTTTTAGCCAGTTAATTTTCTACGAAATGGGGTCGCCAACCCGATGCTCAACCCTTCTCTTTTATCCAGGCTTTGAACCCGAAGTAGCTTCAGAGAGACTGCAGGTGAAGTAAGACACTATCTTATTTAAATTCATTCCTGTGTGATCGTCACATGAAGACTCTTGTCCTTTCAAACAAATTAAGAAAATTAGCGTTTGAGACCAGTCGGATGAGATAACGCCCAGTTCCCAGATTCTACCTAAGATCTCGGTCAATCTAACTGCTACAACTGGACCACCATCCTTAAAAATCTCAGGGGTAATCCTATGAGGACCTGCTGCTCTCTCTCGCTTCAGAGTTCCTATCGCTATTTCAACTTCATAATGACGACTCGCTATTCAGATTGACTGGAGATCGTGGGCAACCGACGTATGGCTGAAGGTCAGTTGAGCTGATCCCTAAAGTTTTCTGCTCATAGATCCAATCACCTAGATTCAGAAGGAATATTAAGACTATCTTTTTACCAAATAGTCTCTCTTACAGTCGGATTTCTAATACCGGTTTCCTTGATAAGTTTGAATAGTTGCCTACTGTTGCCTATCACCACTGCCTTTTCCATCTCTCTCACTTTCGCTACCAACTACTGTTCGCGATCTTTGTGTAGAATTTTTGTCAGCCTGAGCTTGAGCTGATTTCGCTCTTCGTCATGTTCAGAGCTAGATTTTTTGCGCATCTATCAGCTCGGTAAATGCTATTCAAATCCACGGCTTCTCCTTAACCTTATGGTTTACCTCGCTAGCAGATAGCACTGCTTTTGGATATCCTTCCGAGCTGCCTCAGGATGCGAATCACGTTTTACATGGCTGCCTGTTTTTCTAGTTGGTCCTGGAGTATATTCTTAGCTATGTTATCACTAAGTTAAACCCACAGAGTTTTTCTTGCAGTGTCTTTCCTTCACCCAGTAAGCTTCAGACAAATGCGCGCTCGCACGAGGGCATGATCTGAATCTAAACAAGTGCACAAGGATAAGCTGCAGTCTTCAGTGAAGCCTCTCCATCAATGGCTGATAGCAATGTGGTGTAGTTGGGTCCAGCATTGTGACGACTTTGGGGGCCGCCGTGTTTAGAGATGTTTTCTTTATGAATAAAGTTAGCGATTGCTAGAAATAGACGATTACCTGAGTGTAGTCAAGGCAGACGGTCACCATTATCTGATCTTTGAGCTACGACACGGTGAGGTCAAATGAATGACACTACTCGGATCTTATATGTGCAATTCGGAGACGAAACATACACTTATGGCAGGGGATTATAGAGTCCAAGTTAATTAAGCCTGTTGCTCTATGTGACAGAAGGTTCAAACATTAAAGGTTCCAATATGTACTTTAGAGCGGGCTTCAGGAGACCGGGAACAACGTTTAGTAAGCTCAAAGCGTTTTCATCGGCGGCGCGAGGTGACAAAAGAAGGGTTGGAAGTGGAGATAAGAGAGCTACTAGATGTAGAAAGATTTGATTGTGACCGTTCGGTCTCGTGTGCTTTTACGGGTATGAGGGCGGGTGCACTTCCTGGCTGCTCACACTGTGGAAGGGTACTTCTTGAAAAACCTAAAAAGGAAATCGAGTTAGCATTGTTCTGAGTGACCTGGGACCGTGATCGCAAAGCTCGAAGGAGCAACTGTTTGAGGCTGAATACGCATACCCTTTTTATTAGAAGTTTTAAAGTGCTAGCTCCGAAGTTTGAATTCCGACTGATTAATTACTTTATCCTTATGATTCGATAAATTTTAAGATCTTTGTAATCAAGTCAGGGTATACTAGACTACTTAGGCCGTTTACACAATAATAAAACTTTCAGCGTCAGCTCTATGATGTATGAAAGCATTTTAACCGTCCATTATGTCCTGCACATGTCTCTCATATAGATAGTTTTTAATAGTTATATAGAAAAGCTCAAACAACAATCGAATTACTTAAACGACTTCGAAGGTGCAATAAATGAATTCTTTTTAAAAGAAGCAAATATGAAATATTTTATACTTCTACTATATCGTTATCTTTCAAAGATTTACTTAATAAAATACTATTAATATTCTATTTAAATAGTCTGTGTAGTTCAAGTATATTTTGACAGATAACCAACTGAATCTTTTTTTTAAATTTTAACTGTACACACATTCCAATTAATTTTTGATATCATCTATGCCCAAATGTTTGTATAAACACTCATTAAGTTGAATATTATCATTATCATTACACAGTTTTATTAGCCAAAGAGAATTTTAACAAAGAAATTAAAATAAACTTTTATGTTTATTCATGTATGACAAATATCACACATTGAATTACTTATTAAACATATTCAAATTCATCATAGTGAACGTCAAACATGTCAAAGTCTTTTATTCATTAAAATGTACACAGTACAATGACAGTCTTTTAAAGTTCTTAGCGAATTATATTTATGTTTATATACTTCAATATCAGCATAATCTCATCCATAAACACATGTTTTAAACATTATGAGTTATATTCTGTTCTAAGAAAAATAAACACATTTCCATAATATGCACTCAGTTGTGCATTATTTTAATGAAGAATAACAGTCTAGTATTTGTGGTTGACAGTATAAGTCAACAAAAATATCATTTTATAATAAAAATGAAATTTTGGTAAAATTTTATTGTCATCTATTTACTTGTTTACATTTGTCTAGAAAACAACAATTCATTGAACCCTAATAAAATTAGAAATCACGATTAAAGAAAAGGGAAATTCTCTAATCAGTTTCTTCTTTCTTGTTATATCATCTTTTATCAAAATATTTAGGCATTATATTTAATCGCGACCAATGGTAAACCAGATTTTCGTAAAGATAACCTTAGTTTGGACTTGTTAAATTTTCTCGACAGATGTCTAGAAGTCGATGCCCAGTCTCGTGCTAGTGCATCTGAACTAATTGAAGTAAGGTTGTGTTGTTTTTCGTTTTATCTTTAAACAATTATAATTTAATGATCAAGGTTAACTTATATCACATTTAATAACTTTTTATGACGATCGGTTTTGTAATGTTGTGTTAAAGATTATATAGATAAAATTATATATGAAGTCAATTTGTCTGTATTTCCTAATATGACCGTAGTAAGGCTAGCCAGTTTAATAAATCTTATTCTATTTAGTGGTTAGTAAAATGTATATCTCATTTGAAAGTTATCGACATAGAGACTTTTCATATATTGACATATGATAGCAGTTTTACAATCAAACCATACAAAGCACACTGGAACGGTTACTCTTCTTCCCAAGTGAAAATAAACAGAAACAAATTTTTCATCAGATGGGTTTTACATTAATTTGCATGTTTCAGATTGTTAATACATTAGCGTATATGCACAAGTGTAGCTTTGAATAGTTCAACTGGAATTCTCTATCTATCAGGCTAATGATTTAGTCATGTGATGTACGGTACTGATCCATTTACAACTGCCGATATGTTTCGGCTTTTTCCTTTGATACTTCCATATTCACTGTTAACAAGTGTACTAATTAGAAGAAACTATTGAATTTACAATTGAAATTTTTCTTGGATTCTTACTTGATTGTTTCTTAATTCACTTGAATAAAGATTGAAAATTTACCATTAATTAGATTTTTAGTTTGTGAATCCTTAATTATTATAGTGCAATTCTATGGATAAGAATCAGTAGACAGAGTGAAATAAGACATTTGCCAAACATATTTAAATAATGCTGTCTTTATTGTATCTAACGTGCTACAGATCTATAGAATAGATAGAACGAGGCTAGCAGTGGAATCAAGAACGCGCTTATTATCCTATTTGGGACGCATTAGGTGGTTATACTTATAAGGTAGAATCAATCGCATTATTCATTTAGCTACTAAGTTCACTGCTAGCCACATTTTGACTATTCAATGTAAACTTGTGTCCTGGTAGATATATCGAGTCAGTCTAGATAGGATGCCCGTGAGGTAAACCAAGACTGATCAAATTTTAGTAAAAATGTCAACAATGGAATCATTCAAACTATTTCAAATTGAACCAAAATAATATGACAAAAATGTTTCATCAAGTTGCTGCGTACGCCTACGTGCATGTTATAGCGTCCAGATGAGAACCAAATACAAATAAAAACTCATTTAAACAGATGTCTAGTTTAGGAGTAAATTGCAAGAATAGCATTTATCTGAATTTGCCTAATATTTCGAAAAACTTTTATTCAGAGGTGTTTATGGAAAACAGTTATAATTCTTACCTGTAACTTGAAAAGATGAAGTTGGAAAATTCATTAATTAAAATCTTGTCATTAAAATGCTGGAATAACGGCCGTGAAAATGAGACGTATTTGCTGAATTTTAACAGACGAATCAAATGCAACTCCTGACGTTTTTTGATGTATGCTGGCAGTTTAAAGGACCTTGAAAATTCTTAATAATCAATTCTTTTTTAAGTCAGCCCTAGATTTGTGTATTATTTATTAAATAAACTTTAGTTGGAATATTAAAATTTGCTTTAATTAGCAGAAATGAAAAATCTAATCCGGAGTGACACCTATTGTTAGTGAAATTATCAAGTTCAGGAGTTCTAATTTGCAGGAAGACAATAGTTTTCTAAGAGTTGAGCTGGAACGGCGTAAAAAGTAATTAAATGTTAACACATCTTTTGAGTCGACTTTAGGGAAATGGTCCAAAACCCTGATGACAAGGTATGAATGAGAACAATAGTCACAAACATCACAGATCATTAAGCTGAAACTAATAATAGATCAGTTGATTACAAGTATTAATCAGTGTTACCATTAACTGAAATTAATCGACCGAATTCACAACAGGTTGACTCATGTAAGTGACCTCCAATTATGGTCTGTGTTTTTATTTGAAAGAGGTAGACAAAGCCACGTTCAATATATTGTTTTAATTCATTTACAGAAACGCTCCTTTAGCCATAGTTTATGTGAATAGATGTGAGTGGCGACAGAACATATAAGATCCTGCGGGTTCATTTACTTTAAATATTGTACATACATGTATTCTTTGTGTTAGTAATCTAATTCGAATTTTTATTTTTACATGTGAAGCATCCATTTATACAAAAGAATGCTCGCCCAATAACATCTTTGATTCCGCTTATACTATTAGCACGAGAACAGGCTCGTTCTAATACAGTTACATAAATCTTTGAAACTACAATATTGTGTCAATCTGTTATCCTGTTTCTTTAAAACAACACGATAGAGAATATTTTGCTTTTTACATTGTTCTTATCTCCAAACATCCAGTACGATGCATTTTCTCAGCTTGTATGAAATCAGTTATCTTAATGAATTATTTCTATTTTGCTTTATTATTTCTCAAAATGTCAATAACAAACAAGCTCTGCTTCTACTATTTTCTAGTATATAATACGCTATATAGCTACACAGAATTCCTGCATTTATTTATTTTATTATACTAAAACGTAATGTTAAAGATTAGTTTTTTACATTGTACATTTGACTGCTGATACATTATTTCTTCACTGATTATTCTAAAACAAAGAACACTTGCAAATGATTATGGTATTTTTTTTAGTATAAAGTTAAATGCAGTAACTTGCAGTAATCTAACCTACCTAACTCTAAGCAAACAAATGAAAAACAAAAAATTGCCTTATAAAATATATTCCTTTGAAAATGGATTTTACACGATAGATCTTAAATTCACCAAAACAACGAACTCCTTTGTTTTGTTTTTAAGTTGTTCCTTCCCTCTGCAATGCCATGTCGAATAAACACCAACGTGAATGTAGCATATCCTGCATACTGACTAAAATAATACATTGTTACAACTTTGCATAATATAAAAAAAGATTGACAACTGCTCTTTTAAAGACAATAATATATAAACTAATCGTTACATTTATCTTATTTTTCATTCCAATTAAAATAATTATTTCTTTTAATTTAATTTTAAAAGATTTATCTATACGATCGTTGAAAACTAAACTGATCCTATACAACCTCTGAATACATGTTACGTAAATGATTACCGTTATTATTGATGTCATTAATAGGAATAATTATATTAGTATTGTTTTGCAGGTTGAAATTCTCGATCAATGACTGCCAGTTATTATCAACTAAGATAGCTGATCTGTACAGTTCTGTCACTTTTATTACTGTGGAATAACCAGGATGAGGAGAGCAACGCTTAAACTGGTTGGATTATTAATAATTTTGGAAAATCCAACTTTGTTGCAGTATTTAAGAGGCGTTTGAGGACAAGGCTTTTGTCCATGATGTTAGTAAGGAAGTTTCCTTGGTACTCCAATATATACGGACAGAACGTATAGACAAACTTAGGTGCAACCACCAAATATTTATCTATCGATGTCGTTTCACTGACGTTATAACATATACAGAGAACTAAAGATGTGAATTTATTTAAAAAGCAATGAAAAACGGAGTCTATGCGAGCAAAGTGATACTTATTACATGTAGTGAAATTTCATGAACTGATAAAATGAACGTTAAAGCATCTATAGCTAGTCAAACTAGAGAAAAAGACTTTTTAGTTAAATAATAGTAGTTTAGAGGATAGATAGCTCACTAGTGTGAGGACGAATTGTTGCAATACAAATTTAGGACTAGGAGCAAATAACTGCCGATTTATAGTTCTCTGGTTTGGTCCAAGAGAACAATCGTAAAGATTATATTACTTATAATTCAAACAACCAATTATTTAATTATATTGTTATTCGATTAATCATACAACTCAGAGGATTAAATTCATTCTTGCACTTGCAAAACGATATGAACTAAAAATATATAGAAATCCATAATTTAGTTGAATTTTCCCGTAAAACTTCAAAATACCTTGACTTTGACATTTTTTGAAATTAGGAAGAATATCTAAACAAATTTATTGCTGCCTAGATAACTTGTATAAAATTCTGCTCTTGGAGAGTTACTATAATTAATCAGGTTGTAATTATAAAATATTATAGTGCGTTCAAGCAGCATAAATCTAGGATTAGGATTTCCCCGATCACACTGAATGTGAGGGATAACGGTGAGTCACGGAATTTTCATTCTATCAGAAGAGAAGTGGAAGTACAATGTCTGGGAAACAACGAAATAACATATGTAGTAGAAACAATTTTGTAGACTGGTTAAAATTTATTTAGTCTACATTTCTACAATTTTATACTACAGAGGTGTTATTGATGCGGCATAAATTAATATAAATCACTAAAGCAAATCTCATTGATAGGGAAGTCCAAAGTATCGCAAAGTTTTCAATTCTTCTAGATCATTAGATAGTGACACAAAGTTCAAAATATTTAATCTCTCTAATTTTTCATTTAAAGCAAAATAGCTGGTTTCTCATATGTAGTCCATGTCTACGACGACAGCATTATCACCATAACTTCTTGTCAGCTAAGAACTACGGCAAAAGAATTGATAAAATCCGGTATTCATTAAAACTTATATATTTTCGCATAATTAGTGACATATGTTTGCTGACTACCAGCAGCTACAGATACACACAGACATGAATATTTACTATATATAAATACCGACTTAAGATAGCTAAAATATAAGGAGATTGGGACAGAAAGATGATTGAAAGACTCTGCAGAACAATTATTATTATTATTATTATTATTATCAGTACTGGTAATAGAAGAAATTATTGTTGCATAGGTGTAAAATTATCATTCATAAAATGAGAAAAATATGTCCATTCGGACAGAGAGAGCATTTTACATTAAAAAAGGCTTTTATATATATATATATATATATATATATATATAGCAATCCATGTTAGTTTTATTGATTAGTCTTACATCAAAAGATAAGAAAATAGCACGCAATAGAGAGAGCAACAACAGAAATTAATACATAAAAACGCACATAGTGAAGGAAAGAAAACTAACAGTGAAACGGAAACACTAACTAATGCTTAATTTTTTTTCTTTACAATATGCAATCATCCTCAAGTAGATGGTGTATTCAATGTGTTTGTTAGTTGACGAAAACGATAATGTTGGCATGATCAATCATTAAATATTCGGAAAAAGCGAAGACACCACACGCACAGGCATAAATCACTAGCGAAATTCCACTAAACCACGATTACATTGAATAATGAGGTCGTGAAAAGTAATTCATATGAATTAATTTTTTTTGCGCCAGATAACAGAAGAACAGATTGTGTAATTTTCTAAACAACTATAAATACGAGCATGCATATACTAGAAAAACACTGAAAAAAGACTATTCCCCTAATAAAAGATGATAAGGATCGAAATGTATCAAGGAATGTGAGAAAACAAAGTTGAGCTTGTTGAATTTCGATTACACAGTACATATTGCTGATATACATTAAATAACGAAAAAAAATATTTTCATACAATATATTTCTTGCAATAAATCATATTACAAGAACAAAATGATGCGAAGTCATAAAGAAAACAGAAAATATATATACTAAAGTGAACGTGATTGTGTATCAATATTAAGTTAACGATAATTTAAGGGAATATATATTTGTGTACGTATATGTCAGTTAATAATAAACTGATGAACATATAAAACTATCCACGATAGGAATGGGATTGCTAAGAAAACAGAAAACATAAAAGGTAAACAATAGGATTAGGTTAGATCAATAAATATGGGAAATTAAATAACTTAGGAATTATACGGATTGTCTTAATTCTATAACTGATTTTACTACAGATTGACTAGGACAAGCATCTAAAACTAATAGAAATGTTTTCAAACACAGTAATTACTGTTGTTCACTACACTTTAATGATTTATGTTTACAACCTAAAAGATAAAAAATTTTATTCACACTACAAAAGATCATAAAGAATAGATAGAAATATCTGTTGAGTGACTCAAACTCTCTACAATCAGCAGCTGGTTTATCAACTACACTGTAGATTTTGGTCACATCTTAAACGATAATGCTAATAACTATTAGTATCAGATACAAGAAGTATACTGAAATATGTACGATGAGAAACAGAATAACGATAAGGCGGGGGAATGAGGTAAGATATGGCATTTTAGTATTCGAATAACAAATAATTTCAAATATACATAAAAGCGCTGTATTTCGGAGTAATAAAACGTAAATGATTCTTATTTGCACCCAGAAGTCGAAAATGAGGAAGTCTCAGGTTAATGCCATCACATTTCCGAGAACCCGTGCTTTCAAACTGATATTTTGAAGTGTAGACAGAGATGAGAAGACTTTGTTACACGTGATCACTAAAATGAAAGCGATTTAACAAAAAACGTTTTCGAAGTTACACGTCAAAACTCAGGTACCAATAGTACTAGGTCAAAAATGTCGGTATCACAAAACATACCACTGTAAGCAGAAAATAATTTACATTAAGAGTCGGATGAATTCATGCGTAAGCGATCTAATACACGACGCCTAACATTGGCAGATAATCGTGGATTACTATCCAATATACGGGTTAATAACTCCACTAAGAATTCACTTGTATACTGAGGTGAAGCAGCATCAACTGCCTGGAAAGTGGCCGCCAAATTCGAGATCGGATCTGAAGCCCCACTAGTGACCTGACTGTAAACAGCTTGAAGCTGAAGAAAAAAATTACATGACATTTGGATGCAATATAAAGAGAATGTAATATACTGAAAAACGATTACAAAACAACATTCTAACAAACTTTTCATTATTTGGAGACTCGATTTTTAACGGCATTATTTATACAAGCAACGATACGAAAACCTGAAGACTGAAAAGAATAATAAATTATCAATTGTTCATTGAATAAATTGCATTGTGTTCTTCATTTACAAGACAAAATCAGATCATATACACCTGTTGGGCGGAGACGAAAAAACCTCGTGATGTGAACACTCATACATTACTTACGGTAGGAGGTTGCTGAATTCTGCTGTTGAAATCACGAATTGATCTCAGTTACCAGAAAGCACTAGAGAGCTATTTCGCTCTAACATGGGACTTCTCAGCAATGAGCATCCAAGATGGACCAAATGCAAAACTATAAGGTTTCGCAGCGAGAACTTAAGCTTTACATTGTTGAGTTGATACATCTAATGGTTTACATGTCTTACTTCAATGAATTTTATGATATTGTTTAATAATCTATTGTCTTCGTTGGGCAACCGCTTTATATCCACTGGTTAAGTTTTCTCAGTAAAACTCCAGGAATTACACATCTAAACTAGTCAATATATGTAATTTTGAGTAACATTAAATTTTCGTTTTCGTTTATCATGAGTACGGTCTCAAAATTTAAACAACCATCGATTAACTCTCAGAAGATTACATTAATTGAACCGATTAATTATTAGTTTTTGACTGAGGTGTATTACTGATGACTACCAGTTCTTACAACGTTCTATTCGACCAAGAAAATCATTAGGTAAATATGGAATCCAAATAGGAAAAAACTCATCAATATAATCAGACGTTGCAAAAGGCTACTACAAAACAATTTCTAAATCAAGAAACCATACACATTAAAGGAGAGTACAGTATAAATATTAAATAATATTTCTTACATCCTGAAGCAAAGGTAAAACGTGATGGTGAAAAAGTGACGGTTTATTCAAATTTACACCAGATGGTGGTGATTGACTATGTTGAGGTCTGTTATTAGCTGACGTAGAAATATTTTTTGAGTTGACTAATTTAGAGTGGCCAGGATCACCAACTATGACAAAAATCAGAAAAAGGAACAAACAAAATATATGCGAACGTCTATCTGGAAACAAAATGAAACTTTCGAGGAGTCAGATTGATACGGACCAAGTTTCGTTTCTTAAATTACTCTTTTTCTGTCGCGTAAAACTATTCGATACTTATTTAAATACATATTTCTCAAATATAAGAAATTGTTTAAAAGTACAAACAAAGTAGACACTCCATTAAATAATATTGAAAACTATGTCATAATTCATCTTACTTCAGTCAGTCAATCACTTACAATGTAGAACTTCGTACGTAAGTACATCAGTTCAAGTTGCCATACCACATTAGCGCAGAGATATAATTGTCGATTCAAATCCCATAGTAGTAGAGGTAGTAAAATTATTAGAAGTAATCGGAGATTAGGGTTCGAAGATGCTATTCAAGAAGTATAATTCAGTGAGGTAAATTTAGAAAAAGATAAAGGTGGTGAGTAATTCAGGTTAGAATTTTATAGAACACAGAGGGTAAATGCACCTGCGCTATTGCAAACGGTTTTCAGCCATATCACTCAGGGTCTCTAACCATCGATTATTATCATCTCGCGAACCACAACCAGGTAATCGACACATACTGACACGACTCAGTCCGCTTGTCATTTACTTCATGTGTTTCTGCTATGTTTTGGTCTGACCGACCTAGCCTTGGTCCAATCTACCTACATCAACGAGGCAGTTGGTGGTTAGGCATACGTAACACATGTCCCAACCGACTCAACTGATGAAGTTTAAATACTTCATCTACTGACCTGCCATCCTTACCTAGCACCTGATTCCTAAAAACAGCATTGTTTACTCGGTTGTCCCACGATACACGAGCAATGCTTCGGAGACACCTATGATCGAAACCAACAACTTACGAATATCTTCTACTCTCACTGGCTATGTTTCACAGCCATAAAGGAGAACGGAGCGAACTACTGCGCAGTAAACACGTCCTTTAGTCAGCAAACGGATATCTCGCCTGCGCCATAGGTGACGCAGGTTGGCAAGAGCCAATCGAACCTTCTGCATTCGAGCTGAGATTTCGTCAGTCACCAGGCCATCAGCACTGATGAGACTACTCAGATACGTGAAGCGGTTTACACGCTCAACTGCTTCACTCCCTATCACTAGTTCAGGTGACGATGCGACCCATTCCCGAAGCAATATTTTGCATTTCGAGGGTGAAAACCGCATCCCGAACATGCTTGCATTGTTGCTTAGTGTAGTCAGAAGACTCTGTATTTTGTCAGCGTCTTCACCGAATAGAAATATGTCATCGGCATATTCTAGGTCAGTAAGCGATTTTGCTGGTATAAAGTCGACTTCTGAAAATTCAGACGAGGATAAGGTTACATCTAGGAGCAGGTCTATGACAACATTAAACAATAATGGGGAGAGTGGACATCCATGACGAACACCACTTGAAGTAGAGAATTCCGATGACAGTTCGCCATAAGCTCTCACCCGACCAGTAGTTTTAGAGTAGAGCTTGTATAAGGTTAATGTACTTCTTTGGTACACCTTTCAATGACAGGCACTGTCACAGAACCTCACGATCCACTGAGTCAAATACCGCCTTAAGACAACTATTGTAGGACTCCTAAATGTGTGTCTGTGTTCTAGGACCTGTTGTAGTGCGAAAATGTGGTCTATACAGCCACGTTCAGGTCGAAAACCAGCCTGGTTTTCTCAAGTCTGCTCTTCACGAGCTCTAGTTAGGCGTCTAAGTATAATCGAGGCTAACAATTTATAAACTATATTAGTTAGACTTATTCCCGTGTAATTGTCACAAGAAGACTTTTGTCCTTTCTTATAAATCGGAACAATCATGGATTGAGACCAGTCGGACGGGATTGTGTCCAGTTCCCAGATTCTACCTATATTCTCTGTCAATCTAGCTACTAAAACTGGACTGTCATCCTTAAAAATTTAGGGGTTAATCTATCAGGATCCACAGCTCTCCCTCGCTTCAGATTTCCTATCGCTTTTTCAACTTCATAAAAATTCGGAGGACTTATGTCGGTTACCCATTCAAGATGACTAGAGATCGTAGGTAACCGAAGTGTGGCTGAAAGCCAGTTGAACAGATGCCTGAAGTGTTGTGTTTATCGATCCAATCTCTTGGACTGAGAATAAATAATAGTCCCATCCCTCTAAACAAGTGCTCCAGATGAGCGGCAGTCTTCAACAGAGCCTCTCCACCGATAGCTTATAGCAATGTGATCTAGTTGAGCCGGCTTTAGGGGTCGCCAGATCAAAAGGTGTTTTGGCTTATGCTTAACGTTAGTGTTTGCTAGGAATAGGCGGTTATCTGAGCATAGCTGACGCAGACGGTCGCCATTATCTGTTCTTTAAGCCGCGACACCATAAGATATCACCCAGGTGTCTTTCCTTTTCACTGAGTCTACCTACTTGAGCATTGAAGTCACCAGTCGTTATACCTACATCAGAGCACATTTTGGAGGTCCGAATGCTTTCCGTAAAACTTATCTTTCACCTTTTCGTAGCTGCATTCAGTGGGAGCGTATGCGGAGGCAACGAAGAGGTAACGACGAGTGTCACTGTCATTCCAAAACCTTACTGTCTCGTTCAGTCGGAAAGCGCATAAGCGACTATCTATCGGGATCCAGTCTGGGAGATTGTTCTGCCATACGACTTAATACTATATCTACGTCGGGGAGGCCAAGAGAAGCGGCATCAGGGCTTCCAGAAACAAGAAGAGTAAACCTTGTTGTGTCTCCATCTGCACTAAGTGAGATCAAATTGATGGTTTTACTTGGATCTTGTATGCGCGTTTCGGAGACGCAACATACATCGATCGCCCGGGATTCCAGAGTTCTAGATAATGAAGCATGCCCTATTTGGCATAGCGTCCGAACATTAAAAGCTCCTATATATAATTTAGTACGGGGTTTAAAGATACCAGGAATAAAATCTCGTGAGCACATACCGTTTGCATCAGTGGCGTGAGGTGATAAACGATCGAAAGGATTAGTTGCGGAGATAAGAGAGTTATTAAGAGGTGTAGAAAGGATTTGATTGTGACAAATTTGGTTTCGTGCTTTTATGGCTATGAGGGAGGATGTTACTTCCCGGCTGCCCACACCGTAGGTGTTTCCTGAAGAACCTGAAAAGGAAAGTAGAATGGTGTCAGTCTTACAGACCTGGGAGCGTGACCGTTGAGTCCAAGGGACAACTTCTGGAGGCCAGTCACGCACAGCCTTTTTATGAAATGTTTTTAGAGTATTAACTCCGTTCCTGTTTAAAAGCCCTTACCGCCTGAAACGGAAATCCGTGAGGTAGGGTGAGGTGTGACATTTTTAGGGTCGACCTTTTCTAACCCTTCCTTCATTGTGAGAAGGCAGCACTGCTGCAGATTCTGATTGTCCGAGGGAAAAACCTTACTGCTGTCACACCCCTCTGCAGTCAGCAGTACAACTTCGCCCTCAGACCTTGAGTAGCTGTTTTTAGTTTCACCATTCTCCAATCAAATTGCTTGACATGGTAGAACCTATATGAACATGTGTTTCAGCCAATATAGCTTGATTGCTTCATCACGATAGGCAAGCCCGACCACCACGTCAAGGTAGCAGCTACAGTCGGATTTCATCTTACTTAATAATGGATAATTTATCACACAATGAGGAATAGAAAACTAGATGGCAGGTATCAACAAATACTTCGAAATATATTCAGCTGATTAAATGGTAAATAGAAAATTTTGTGCAAGGTAATGATAGAGTCAGATATATGGCTGTGGAATTCCATATAATGGTGTAAAGATTTATCATATTTTGCAACGCAAAGATGAATGTGGAGAAAGGAACAGCACAATACTGTTCATGGCCAATATGATCACTATGGTTTTTATTCACATAATCCAAAGTCTATAACCATTGATTTCAAGGTACCTATGAAGCTAAGACAACTAACAATCAGTGATTCTATGAACTGATGAGACTTTTTTGTCTCCGCACCCACAACATACCACTAAAATAATCTTACTACAATCAGTCAGAAAGGGTAATTGGATCAGTAGTCAATAGCTTGACATGTCTGATACATGGGTTTAGTTACCGTATTAATTGTATTGGACTAGAAAATAATAGGAAACTTCACCAAAAAGAATAACATCTAAGAACATTTAATTAGAATATGTACACGGTATATTTTATGGACTTTAATTTCGCTCTATGGCAAGAAGGTTGAACAAACAGATACTATGACACAAAATTAAACATCACGAATCGAACGCACCGTTTTTTGAATGAACAGAAACAGTAGCACTGTGTTTGTATCGCACACAGAACATATATACGATATCAGGAATAGTTTTGCGGTTAGTGAAATTTCAATAGAGAGTACCGTTTCACGCATGATATTTAGGTAGTTAGTCAGCAACAATGAGGAACTTGGTAAGTATGTACATCAATCCAAGTTGCCATACAATATTAGCACCGAAAAATTTCAAGTTGTTGGTGTGTTAGCGCCGCTCTTCAAAAGTTCTTACCGTCTGATATTCGTAGGGTAAGGTGAGGTGTGACATTTGTACGGTCGACCTTTTCTAACCTTTCCTTCTGTTATGAGAAAGCAGCATCGCTGCAAATGCAGACTGTCCAAGAGAAACACATTACTGCTGTCCCACCCCTCTAAAGTCAGCAGTACGACTTCAACCTCAGACCTTGAGTAGCTGCTTTTAGACTCATTGTTCTCCAATCGACCAGCCTGGCATGGTAGAACCTTCAGGAATATATGTTCCAGCCAATATAGGTCGGGTCCTCATGATAGGCAAGCCCGATCACAACGTCAAGGTAGCAGCTACCGTAGGGACACTTGATACAAATTAAAGTCAAAACATAACTCGGAAGCATAAAATGTATCATTTCACAACTTGTGACCTAAAATCTAAAGATAAACATAACTAACCATAAACTTGACGAGGGTGAGGCATATCACCTGCCATAACTCTGGTAACAGGTTGAATAGGTTGTGGTCGGATAATTGGAATACTAGTGGGGCCAGGAGATGCATTAGGACCAGTGGTATTTGGATTTGGATTCACCGCTGGACGTGGTATATGGACACGTAAATTTTCATCTGATGTACATAAACCAATCTGTGAAGCTTGAATCCCCGAATGAAGAGGTCCTCCTACTGCAGAGTTTGCAGCACGTCTAATTAGATAATAAATGAGAAAATGGGAAAGAAAGGATACATAATAAAAATACAACAATTACTTTCAAAATTATAAATTATAACAATTTATGTCATGAAAAAATAAAACCTACAGATACAGATCAAAGGAATATCAAAAGAAACAAGTTACAAGTGTATTTTACCTACAGAAAACATGGCATCGTCAAGAAAAAAAAATGAAGAAATACACATTTTACTTAAATTAAGCATATTCAATTACATAAAAATATACACTCAATATTTCCATAAACGTTAGTAATGTAATAAACTGAGATAAGAGTGCAAAAAAGTCACAAGAACTTTTAGTTAACTTACGGGGTAACAAGGATAGACCATGTTTTTTACTTCGTTCAGTGTGAACACTGGCTAATATTACTTAGGTCTATAATTTAGTGTGATAATCGATTAAAACTGATATTCGTCTCATGTTCAGTAAGGTAATTTGCTCAGAATAACACTGACTTTATTATTTTTAGTATGAACCTCTATTCAGCATGACATGCAGTCTACGTTTATGTCATAATTCTGTGGGTTTTTAGTATGGTATTTGTTAATTAATCATCAAACAGTTATACAAAACAATGTATTTGGAAAAACAATATATTTATTTGGAAAAACGATGTGGGTTTTGAGAAGTCTACACTTTCATTTTTATCAGTCGGTACCGCTCATTGCTTACTAGGTGGTTCCAGAATATACAGGTAATGCTTCGAAGACACCTTTGATCGAATACTAGTAGCTTGTGAAAATCCTCTCTTCTTAATGGTTATGTTCCACATACGTGAGGTAAAACAAGAAGAACTGCTGCGCAGTAAACTCATCCTTAGGTTAGCAAACGGATATCATGAAGGTTACACGTCAGCATAAATAAATAAGCAAATAACACAACTAATGACCGAAAATCTTGGCAATCTCTAGACAAAAATTGAAATTTTCAACAAAGAAGAAAATCATTACAGAATTCAAATAAAGAAGACAAAGTGATAAAGTTTCTTGAAGCTGCAACGAAATACACTACTAAACAAATAAACAAAAATACTGATATCGAAATTGTAATAACCGATTGGTAAGCTTTAAATGACTTTTTTATGAGTTATGATCACATTTCATATAATCAGACACTCCGTAAATTTCACTGTGTGAGAGATAGTAACATTATCAGTGGCGATAAAAAAAGTTTATGCAAGGATATGAATTGAGACGTATGAATTAGAAGGATAAAAAATCGTTAATAAAGTAATTTGGAAACTTACGATTGAATGTTGGATACACTTGTACTGTTTCGAAACGATTTTGAGTTGTTACACAAAGTCTATAACGATGGGCACGATAATTATGCACACCTCAACCAGGTAGTCTGCAACTACCTAGAAGGATCTGTCGAGCAGTCGGTAACTTCATGGATGGATACTGAGTTCTTAGTTTAGCCACTACTAGTATTTTTTTCAATCACTGTGTATCGAAACAGGCTTACAAACTAAGTAGCGAACTCAATGCCAATTTCATTGATTGAGTAATATTATCAGTCCGCCCACTAAATAGTTAGCTCATGGTTTATCATGTGAATTATTAGTTACTAAATTGAATAAGCGACAAAACCCACCTCACCTATTAGAAATACTTTTATCAAGCCCATATAACATTAAAATTTACACCTTAATAATCAACGGAAAAAGAGAGTAACAGGAAATCTTCATACAAATTTCAGCAACTAGGAAACTGCGGTCTGTAGAAAAAATAAGACCTAATCATAGACCAGTACATTTTACAAGCTGAAATAATTGGAAATGTGCAGCATACAAAGCTCATTTTATAATCACTTCTATAATCGATTTAAGAATGATTATTCAGTTTTACAACTCCCTCTTAAAAAGGGTGAATTCATAGGCGTCGAGTTCAAATACTTTCAAATATGAATAACCGTAAAGAAACAGTTATTTTATACACTACAGTCGCTTAAATTATAATGTTTATCAAAGCTTTTAACCATCCACCAACTAAAACAATAGAAAACATTTTAAACGAATACAAGTACAGGGGAAAACAAACCATAGTGAAACTTCTATGTTACATTTCCGTTGCGAACTATCTCTATAATAATCTAATAAATATATTAAAAATTCAGGTCGTAAATAATGAAAAGAATAAACAATTAACGAATTTTTGATTTTTAGTAACCACTTACGAATCATATCCATCAGAGAGACGTCGTTCAGTTTCAAGTGAAGGACCACCAGTTGATCGCTTGATCACAGACTGGACATCTGAACTGGATGGTGACGATGAAGAAGAATGGTGGATATGGGTATTGGATTGAGTGGTAGGAACATCAGGAGAAGAATAAGCCGAAGCTGAATTATGGGAAACTGGTGCAGACTGTGATGGCATAGCACGAACTGTTTCGAAATTCCACTTGAATGTATCAGATGCTTTTCCTGGTTTCATGCCATCAAAATGTTTCTTCGTTTGACAAGGTTTCTCGGCCCCACCAGAGGTATTCGAATTAGCATTTACAAGATCGTCTTCGTCCGGAACACTGAAAATTCAATTTGCAATAACCAGTCTTAATACAGATAGAAAATAATGGGGTGATAACAAAGTAGGAATCAACTAACTAATAGACCTGTATTGAAATAAAATTTTGTAATTAGAGAGAGAAAAACACATTTCAAACAATTAGGAAAACGTTTTTAGCGTCTTCAATAAGTAGATCTATCAACATCATTATCACAATAATAATAATAATAATTTGATCAGAAAATACTAACATCAATATTACGAAGTCCTAGAAGATATATATGACTAATACATACAGACACCTGAGACAAATATTAAACAAGTGACTTCATGTATAAAAGCATAATAATCAGTTTTTAAATATGAAAGAGTTTAGGAGAGAAATCATAAACAATTAAGAAAATGTGATTACAAACATTATAGGAGAATACAATTCTTTATATAAAATTTATATTATTTCATAATATTTCTATTTAATCATACGTAAAACACTAAATAATTACTAATCGTTAACTTGGATTTCAATATTAAATATTTAAAAATAAATAAATTGTAATAATAAAACCTGATTATTTGAACAAAGAGATCAAGTTACATAGGTATAGACATATCTGTTGAAAATAAAAATGTCTACATGCACCATGCGTGCTAGTCCTTTTTTTAGTGAATTCCACTATGAAAATAAAACAAAAAGAATCAAACAATTAACACAGATCTTGGACAAATCAGTATCAAAAAAGGAATGTGAAGGTGCGTACGTGATCACAAAAAGATATCTCAATAATATTTTTCACATAGAAAATAATCTCTTTTCATATTCGTGTAAGTTGTCTAAGGTATGCAATACTTTATTTATTAAATTGGAAATTATTGATTTGACCACAAATTAATAAACTTTAAACGTCTAATGCTGGAAACAAATCAATCGCACCACTACAAAACTTAATACGACGCGCTGATACACAAAAGGTTCGCAATCCATTAACTAAAGTCAGTTATGAATGCATATCATATTGTTGTCTAAACATGGTTGGAAAAAAACAACAATCAGATGATTCAATCAAGGTAACTACAAACTTTTACGTCTGACTAGATTAGAAGGTCAATACAAAGCCAGGGGATGCCCCGGGTCTTTGGGTGACTATCGAATAAGGCTAGACGAGAGTTGAGCCTTTCAAGAATAAATAAGGATTTCATAAATAAAGTTCGCCCATAATTACCGCATTGGCCATGGGTAAAATAATGACATGTCCGGGGAACCGAATTGATAGGTTGATGGAAGAATTTCAGTTAATTAGGTGTTAGTTAACTCCGCCTAAACAACCTCTGGAGCTACTGCCGATCTAAAGCCCGAATAAATGAGTAGGGTCGGGCATCGAGTTAGCGACCTCATCCCGTAGAAAACTAACTTGCTAAACTGATGCTAACCAGAAAATATGAATCACAACACTTAAACTCGTCCCTGGGGATTGAAGTCAGTCAGTCAGTCAACAAAAACATAGAACTTCGTATGTACTTACATCAGTTCAAGTCGCCATACCACATTAGCACAGAGGCGCAATTGTCAGTTCAAATCCAATAGTGGCAGAGATAGTAGAAGTGTTAATGGAAATGGAGAAGATTAGGGTTCTAAAATATTATTCAAGAAGTTAAATGCAGTGAGATAAGTTTAGAAAGACAAAGATAGAGGTGATGACGAATACAGAAGACTAGAATTTCATAAAACATAACGAGTGAATGCACCTGCGACATTGCAAACGATTTTGATACATGTCGTTCAAGGTCTCTAACCATTGATTACTATCATCTCGCAGTCAGTCAGTCAGTTGCAACGTAGAACTTCGTACGTAAGTACATCAGTTCATGTCGCCATACCACATCAGCACAGAGATATAATTGTCAATTCAAATCCAATAGTAGAAGAGGTAGTAAGGGTATTAGGAGTAATCGGAGAGGTGAGGATTAGAAGATATTATTCAAGAAGTATGATTCAATGCGATAAGTTTAGAAAGTCAAAACTAGAGGTGTTGAAGAACCCAGAAGATTAGGATTTGAGAGAACACAAAGAATAAATGCACTGGCGCCATTGCGAACGATTTTGAGCCATGTCATTCAAGGTCTCTAACAATCGGTTACTTTCGTCTCGCGGACCCCAACCAGGTAGTCGACAATTACCGACATGGCTCAGTCCACTAGTCAATGGATTTATGCCATGTTTTGATTTGGCCGCCCCTAGCTTTCTTCCAACATATTCCTACACTACAAAACAAAGCTCTTCGAGGCAGTCGGTGGTTAGGCATACGCAGCACATGTGCCAACCATCTCAACTGATGAAGTTTCACCACTTCATCTATTGATCTGCCATTCTTACCTAGTACCCGTTTCCTAATAACAGCGTTGCTCATTCGGGTGTCCCACGGTATACGAGCAATGCTTCGAAGACACCTATGATCGAAAACCAATAACCGACGAGTATCTTCTACTCTCATTGGCCATGTTTCACAGCCATAAAGTAAGACGGAGCGAACCACTGCGCAGTACACTCGTCCTTTAGTCAGCAAACGGATATCTCGCCTACGCCATAAGTGACGCAGGTTGGCAAAAGCCAATCGAGCCTTCTGTATCCGTGCCGAGATTTCGTCAGTCACCAGGCCAGCAGAACTGATGAGACTCCCAAGATAAGTGAAGCGGTCTACACGCTCAACTGCTTCACTCCCTATCACTAGTTCAGGTGACGATGCGACCCAATCCCGAAGCAATATTTTGCATTTCGAGGGTGAAAACCGCATCCCGAACATGCTTGCATTGTTGCTTAGTGTAGTCAGAAGACTCTGTATTTTGTCAGCGTCTTCACCGAATAGAAATATGTCATCGGCATATTCTAGGTCAGTAAGCGATTTTGCTGGTATAAAGTCGACTTCTGAAAATTCAGACGAGGATAAGGTTACATCTAGGAGCAGGTCTATGACAACATTAAACAATAATGGGGAGAGTGGACATCCATGACGAACACCACTTGAAGTAGAGAATTCCGATGACAGTTCGCCATAAGCTCTCACTCGACCAGTGGTGTTTGAGTAGAGAGCTTGTATGAGGTTAATGTACTTCTTTGATACAACTTTCAATGACAGGCACTGTCACAGAACCTCACGATCCACAGAGTCAAATACCGGCTAACAATTTATAAACTATATTAGTTAGACTTATTCCCCTCTAATTGACACAAGAAGACTTTTGTCCTTTCTTATAGATTGGGACAATCAGTGATTGAGACCAGTCGGATGGGATTACGTCCAGTTCCCAGATTCTACCTAAGATCTCAGTCAACCTAGCTGCTAAAACTGGACCACCATCCTTAAATATATCAGGGGTCAGTCTATCAGGACCTGCAGCTCGTCCTCGTTTCAGATTTCCTAACGCTTTTTCAACTTCATTAAGACTAGGGGGACTTACGACGATTTGCCATTTAGGATGACTGGAGATCGTGGGTAACTGAAGAGTGGCTCGAGGCCAGTTGAACTGATCCCTAAAGTGTTCTGCCCATCGATCCAGTCTCCTGGATTGAGAATAAATAATAGTCCCGTCATTTTCTGAGATAGTCTCACTTACACTAGGATTCCTAATACCAGTTTCCTTGATAAGTCGGAAAAGTTGTCTACTGTTGCCGATCGCCACTGCCTTTTCCATCTCTATCGCTTTCGCCACCCACCACTGTTCGCGATCGTTACGCAGGCTTTTTATAAGTCTGCGCCTAAGTTGACTTCGTTCTTCATCATGTTGAGAGCCAGGTGGGATGAGTTTTCGGGCATCCATCAGATCGGTGGATGCTACTGAGATCCACGGTTTCATTCTAGCCTTATGGTTAACCTTACTAGCAGATATCACTGCTGTTTCCACAGCCTTTTTGATATCATTCCATCCTGCTTCCGGATGGGAATCGCTTAAATGGTCGCCTAACTGTCTTTCTAGTTGTTCCTGAAAAATATTTTTCGCCTTATTATCATTAAGTAAAACCCTAAGAGGCTTTCTTACGGTGTCTTTCCTACGCCCAGTAAGCTTCAAACAAATACGCGCTCGCACTAGGGCATGATCTGAATCTAGACATGTGCTCCAGAACGAGCGACAGTCCTCTATCGAACCTCTCAATCGGTGGCTGATGGCGATGTGATCTAGTTGAGTCCAACGTTGAGACGACTTTGGAGGTCGCCAGGTCAACAGATGCTTTTCCTTATGCCTAAAGTTAGTGTTTGCTAAGAATAGGCGGTTGTCTGAGTATGCTTGCAACAGACGGTCACCATTGTCTGTTCTCTGAGCCGCGACACCATAACATCCACCTAGGTGTCTCTCTCTCTCATTGTGGAGCAATCAATTAAATGGAATTCACCACTCTACATCATTTTTATTGGCTACAAGAAAGCGTTTGATCGTGTGGACAGGACGACACTTTGGAGGCTTCTTTGACACTGAGAAGATAGTCAACATCATACGGAATTCTCACGATGAACTAAACTGCGAAATCGTGCACGGAGGACAGCTCACAGACTCATTCAAGGTGAAAACCGGTGTTAGGAAAGGGTGTTTACTTTCATCCTTTCTCTTTCTCCTGGTGATCGACTGAATTGTGAAGACGTAAACATTTGTAGGAAAGCACGGTATACAGTAGACAACCAGAATGCAGCCGGACGATTTGGACTTCGCAGATGATCTGGCTCTGCTATCGCACCGCAACAACAAATGCAGGAGAAGACGACCGGCGCAGCAGCTGCCTATGCTGAAGTTGGTCTCAACAAACACAAGGGAAAAAGATCCTCCGATACAACGCAACATGCATCAGACAACAACTTTGTCATCCTTTCTGTCATCAACAAATATGTGCGCCAATTTAACTGCAAAATAATATAGAACCTCATATTATATTGCGAAATTTACAGGAAGATATGATAATGCTTAGAATAATTACATAAATAGGGGACTAAGGAAAGTTAATGAATAATAATAAGTAGAACATACGATAATACA